AGGTAAAATTATTACCTTATATAATAAGTAAACTGCTTGCTTTTGATTGTTTTTTTTTGTTAAACGAAATGCCGGTTAAAATTTTTATGTTTAACACATTCATGTGTTAATTTAATATATTGCTCTTGTGTTAATTGACCTCAAATGTAAAATCGTTGAAATAACTGAAAAGAAATGTTAAAACACAACGTGTACTTATTTTTTAATCTGACAATACATATGTTCTATATTATTAATAACAAGATTTATCTGTTAAAATTTACAGAATAAAATGTTGATTTAATTCCATATAACATAAGTGAGAGTGATTTCGAACCGTCATTTGACTTATTACATCTGTAAAATGTAAAAATTACATTTTTTAAATTCATTTTGTTCTTAAAAATATGTCAATTTTACACGATATTTATTTCAAATTGTTTTGAGATTTGCATTTATTTTGTATTAAAATATTAACAGAGTATTAATGTGATTATTTAACATATCCATATATGTTAAATTAACACAAGAATTTGTGGACCGTTTGGGACATGTGATATCTGTGAAATTTAATACACATTTTTCAACTGTGTGTAATCGCTACACATATTATGTGTGTAATTTTACATACTTTTTTTACAGTGCGTGAATTGTTCAGATCGTCAATTATCTCCGCCTATTGTTTTTCCCAGGGAGAAAAAAATAATTACGTAACGCAGTCCTAATGATGACGGAGACTGTGACAAATGACGGGTGCAAGGTGAACGAATGAATTTCAATCGGCGCGCTCGATGCTGACAAATGCTTTCGCTCATCTTGAAATTTATGCAGCTGATCGAACGAGACCCATATCTCGATCACGAGGAATCATTATGAAAGCGCGATACGGAGAGAAGAGGAGAGGAAAGAGACGCACAGGCGAGGGGCATTGCGCTGAAAATCGTCTCTGAAATCTGACGAAGGCGGGAATTAATGAAATTCCGAAGAAGTAATAACGCCTCGTACGCGCGTTCTTCGGGAGTCGAACAGAAATGGGTCAAGCGCGAGAAAATCCGAACGGATCTGCGCCTACCGCGATCGTATCCGGGCGACGTTATGACAATTTTCAGTGACGCTTTACGGCCGACCACGTCACGCCGACGTCCGCCGTTTTATTTCATCGAAATTACAACTTTCCGTGAAGGTGGGCGACGCGCTGCAATAGAGCGAGCTTTAGAACGTTACGCCAAGTGTAATTCAATACAACCGATAGACTTTCACTACTGAATTCCGAATAAAACGCACGCCGCTTCAAATTTTATTGTCTATTTCAAGTAAATGGATTTTTGTCCGGTAATAGAAAAACATCCCCCTCTCTCTCTCTCTTGACACGAAAGAGAGAAGATTAACGCTATGGAAACGATATGGATGATACGTCAATCGCGGATTCATCATTTTTGCTATCGTCCTCCTCCTCGGCGCGATCGTGTATAACGTTGCTATTCTCGGAGAAAACCGAATCGGCAAAATCCTCTCTCGTACGCCGTTTCTATGACGACAAAATGGAAAGATACGTTCGATCGTCCAATGCGACGAAGGGAGAATCCTTAATCTTTCTCGTCGCAAAGTGTAGTGGACCCTCCGAAAGACTTTTGGATTTTCCGCGTCGATGATAAACGTTGGTACACAAGCGTTCATTCGTACGAGAGAATCAAAAATGTTAAAAATCCAGCCGCATCGTTACGTTCCGCGGTGTTTAAAATGGAAAGTTGTGTGGGAACACCGCAACTATAAATTGCAGATACTTAATTTAAATTTCATACGTTACCCCGCCCCGTGTTATCGGTCAAAATTTGCGCAGGAGCGAAGCTCACCCGGTGGAAAATTAATTCCCACCTTCCCATTACCGGGAGATCACGGTCGATCGCTCCAGCGGAGTGTGCAAGAATTCGTTAATAAAGATTTAAATCATGCTCCAAGGTAGCGCGAATGTCTCCCGATGAATTGGAGCCTCAATTAATCACGAATATAGACCTTGTTACATTTTTTTGACAAACGGCGAACATTCGAGATTCCATCTTGTACAGAGCCGTCCCTATTTTCAAATCGATCTTATCGCGGGAAAATTTCGTTTGAACGTTGGAATATAGAGCGTTCAATAATGAGATTCCGCAAAGCTGTATCACATGTAATATTAAACCGAAGAGATCCGACGTTATCTGCGCGATAATACGTAACTATTGTATATGCGCTGCAAATTATTTCGTGACCTGTGTACTAGTGTTACACTTTTGTTCCTTTATACTCGGAATTCCTCTTCGTTCTGTTCAACTGTTACCGAGAAAGCCAATAAAGAGCGTCACTGTTACAGCACACTTTTCGAAATGTTAAAACCTATAACATTGGATAAGATGGTGCGCCGCAATTTATGTACTTGTAAATACAGTTAGAATTTTTGTTGCCTGCGACTCTCGACGTATTATTCAATACTTCACCCGCTCTCTCGCTCCCTCTATCAAATGCATATACATAGATGGTAATGCATAAAGTTAGCACGGTGTTTAAAGCGTGCATTATATGCGCTATTAGAGTTGCGAAAATTGTCCCAAATGCCACGGAAATGCCTGTCCATTAATATCAAGAGACATTTCCTCTCTCTCTGTACGGACGTTTAGACGAGAAGTTAGTACAAATGGTTGCCACATAGGTCAAATAATATGAATAAATTGTAAAATTGAACTTTATCGAGATTTCGACGAACACTGCAGAAAGAATAATATCGCGAACAAGCGTAACCATCACCGCTGGCGTGCTCGTAAAGAAAGCGCAAATGCCGCGCATCGTATAATTATATGCATATTCGTTCGTTCGCAATTTGACGGCACGCAAAGGTTTCCGCTCCGACTCGGTCACGCGATTGGAAACCAACCAGCGGAATATCCTAACATCAAAGAACATCCCGTGCGTTCCCTAAATTGCCGCAACACCGTTCGGCAATTCCAACGAAAATTTAGCCAGCCGAAGCTCTCCGAGCCACGGATCCGGCTCGGTTTCCTGGCGCAACTGATGGAACGGAGAGGACACTGTCGAAAGTGCACAGTGGGGTGTAAGCGGTCGCGTTGGCTGCGGGCAATCATTTCAGACTCGCGACAGAAAATGGGAACGGTTGACACAAGTGCGTGCGTCGGCCGAGGGTTGTGAGCAAACAAAGAGGAGGAAGATGAGGCGGAGGAACGCACGGCGACCGCTTCATCATCGTGTCGGGAAATCAAAACACGAAGGACAAGGCGATGGAAAAACAGGGAGGCTGCTCCCTGGCTCGCGTGCATAGCGCGCGGCATGAATTAAACATACGGCTGTTCGCGATCCGGGCGACGGAGGTTGGAGGCGGATGCCGAGAAGCGTCGCGCTGGCAGGGAGATGAAGGGAGGAATGAAAAGACGACTCGGTGAAATTGGAGTCGCACGGAGGGAAAAGACGGGGGCGAAAGGCGGAGGAGGAGCGCGGGGTGCACGCGTTTAAGACTTTCAGGGACGTTGGGCTGAAAATTGCCGGGCTTCCAACATTATTTCGCGAGACACTCGCTGGAAGGAAAAGATGTCGATGAAACGAAATGTATGTATGTGCGCGCTACTTGCGTAAACCATAAACTTGGCATACCGATGCCTCCGATTTGAAAGCATCGATGTTCTTGGTTCGATTTCCATTATCTACGCTTCGGGTAAAGTTCGCAACTCGTGGAGCATCCTATCGACCCCGATATTAGTTATTCGTAGCGCCCATCCCTAACCGTGGGCCTGCCCAATGACTGGAAGGACAATAGCTGGAGTTTACCGGAGGACCGGGCCGAAACTTGGCCCCGGCATCGAACAGTGGAACTCGAAACTCACCCCCGTGAGCGAGCACGTCCGCGACGACCTCGGTCCTCACCCGCCATCCAGCCACCACTCTCGCGCGCTCGTTCGCCCTCGGCTATCTCCGCTGACGATCGGCTCGCGCGCAACCCTCTCCAACGGGGCGGTCAGGATGACCGGGGAAAACGACCAGCGGAGAGGGTGCGGCCGAATGCGGGGAACGACGGACGACGTGTGGCCCGCGGTTTTACGGGCGATGACAAGAGCGGCAGAGAGTTTCCGCGGAGCGGACGGACGGGCGAGAAAGTACCATACGCACGGAAAGACGGCGCACACGCATATTTTTCGATCCTCCCTCGTCCCTTTCTCGCCCGCCCTGGCTCGCCGATATATGCGTAATACACGCGAGCGTTTGTACACAGAGGATAGAGCCCCGTGACTCCCCCAACGCGCCTCGGGCGAGCAGAGGGAGCGCGCGAGTAGCAGACAACCACAGTCAGAGGCGCGTACATCCTTTCACACATAGATACTCGTATAAACTCCCACGTATGTACGTACAGCATCGGCGGAGGGGTCCGGTACACCACCAACAGAGTTCCCCGACCATTCCCCTCCACACGGATTAGGTCCTTCTCGCTCGACCCTTCGGCTATCCTCTCGCACTCCTCTCTTTCGCGCGCATGTTTTCCGTGTGCTGGCCCCTCTGACCCACCCGTCGCTCTACTCTCTCGCGCAAACGCCGTGCTCGCCTTCTCCTACCATCTGACGTTCTATCCTTGTCCAACTGCTACATTTCTATCTCTTGCTCTTGCATCTCCTACCCCCGCAGAAATATGCTCGACATAGCAGCAGCAGCAACGGCGGCGGCGGCGGTAGAGGTAGAGGTGGTGGCGATGGTGGTGGTGGTGACGACGACGACGACGACGACGACGACGACGGCAGCGGCGGCGGCGGCGGCGGTGGCGGCGGCGGCGGCGGCAGCGGCAGCGACAGCGGCGGTGTTGCTGCTGGTGGTGTGTGCGCGCGCGGTGCTGCCTTAACGGCGTATCGGTGCGGACGGTGGCTTTAGACTCGAAGCTGCGGAAGAAGGGCCGCGAGCTCGGCCGTGCTCCGATGGCCTGATACGCACTGCGAGACGCATTCATGAAGCTCCACTGCCCTGACTCGTCGAGTGAGTAGTAGAGTTTGTGACATTTCCTTGCTGGGTGCCGCGACGATGGTTGGAGCAGCGTCGAAGCAGCGCGGGGTGACGCGACGGTAGGATAGGGGAGGGAAATACTCGCGGACGCGCCGTGTCGTACCCCGTCGGTCGCTCTCCCTTCCTCCCGTAGCGCGATCGTCCGCGAGAGTGGCCTCTTCGCGGAAACGCCGTAGTGAATTGTCTGCTCGGCGACGATGACAACGACGACAACGACGACGACGACGACGACAACGACGACGAAGACGAAAACGAGAACGAAGACGAAAACGAGGACGAGGATGAGGGCAAGGACGATGGCGATGGCAAGCGAGTCCACGTTCCCGAAAACGGACGACCGTCAGTGGCGCGACACCACCAGCAACGTCACGTTACGATCGTCCCTCCTTCGTGGCGGCCGTTAAATCGGCGTGGGTCGATCGAGAGCCGGGGAGAGTAGGGGGAGGAGGAGGCGATTTTTAGCCGGCGGAGGGAACAGCGGGAGAAAGAGAGAGAGATAGAGAGCGCGTTTCCTCCTCGAGGCCGATTAACAGTTGGCCCGAGGGACGCGAGGCGATCGAGTCGGTTTCTTCGGTGCGGCCGCGAGCCTCGGCCGAGGCCGAGGCGCAATAAATATCGACCACGGGAGTGGAGGCTTAGCGATGCGAAAAGTGGACCATTCGATCGGGCCACGTCATATTTCCTAGCGCCCGGCACCGTCGTCGAAAAGGCGCGAGATGCATTACGATCGTGACATGTGCACGTTCCCGGGAGGGTGACTCGTGCGCTTCCGATTTATCAGCGCGCGAAGCCCCCTCCCCGGGTTAGACTCGCGCTCGCAGGCCCGCCGTGGTAGATTCTTCGCGACCTAGACGAGACGTTGGTGCGGTGCGGCGAAACGCCGCTTTTCGGATCCTGGCGAAATATGGTGGGCGGGGGCTGAAGAAACATTGGTAGGAGGGTGCGACTATAGAGGCGGCGACGCTACGAAATATAGCATTTCGGAATGTCGGTACATAGCAATGTATAATATCAATTCCCTATAGTTCCTGTCATGAATCATATTGAACTATGGCCAACGATTCGTCCATAGTAGTGCTAGAAGTATCGGTCGGTAGTAACGTGGATCCCCCGGTATTGCGACATGTATATCGATGGACATTTCGGAATTGTCGATACATGCTAGTACGATGATGCATTTATGGCAGTGCCAACGCAGTGATAGTGTAAGGTGATAGTGCTCATGCGACGCATTGCACTTTTCGGATGTCCTACCGCACTGTTAACGCAGTACTAACATACTAAGGTACGTCTACATCGGTAATCCTTCACGATAGTTATTTCCAGCTAGACGTGTGCCGAGCGCAATGAATACCGACGATAACTATCCTAGTACAAGTCATGTCAACTGTTTTTAGAAACACGTTAAAATATTCCTAAGTACGTGGATAATTTTGGCAATACGAAAATTGTGTTTGCGCGATTTATCACATATACCGTTATATATACATATCGTTAGCTTTTCACCATTCACTATGCCTTATTTGCATGCTGAATGTTATTGCTCGGTCGTATCGTTTCATATTCCTGGGAATCTAATAGCCTGACAGATTGTGTCGAAGCAAATTCGGCCGATTGACATTGTGACGCAATGCACGACAATTAAACCGGCAAATATCCCGCAGACGTCGATCGATTTTTATTCGCTGTGCAAGCGTGCCTTAATTTGTTAGTGTCGACACGATAACGTCGATGGAGCGATGATAATTGGAATTCGCGTTATCGTGCAATATCGATGCGCCCGTTTTGGAATCCACCTGTCTGCCGCGTGACTTTTCAAGGGCTGATGATTCATACCCGATTAAGCGCGCGGCCCATTATTAAGGGATGGCTATCAACCAAGTTTCGTTTCTGATTGCGTTTCGGCAGTTAGAGAGGCTTATCCATCTTGCAGGCTATTCCATAATTGAAAAACGGCCGCGGAAAGAGCTGCAAATGTGACATTGCGACTGTTTACAATTTCAACTCGCATGTGCGATATGAATAATTTTCGTGCAATCTGTGGAACGAGAGCCAACGACGATAATGCCGTAACACCGAGAGGATTAAGAGGACTAGATCTTCACGGGCTGTCAAGGCTACATCTCCTTGCTTACCACGAGCAACTCCCAAGGGTGTTTCGTAATTCGCCCAAAGACACTCGCTGGTCTGCCGTGTCATGACTTTTTTCGCAGAGTCGGGAAGAAACGACAGTTCTACCGAACGCGGTCTTAACCCTTCTCCGATCGCTGTTAGGCTCAGTTTCGCAGTGGCGAGTTAGCTTAACTAGTTGTACACTGAAAAAAATGTCTGGTTGAATATGGACGAATCAGATAATTCCTTTAGGATTTACCAGAATTCCTTTAGGATTTACCAGAATTCCTGTAATCCTACAGAAATTCTGGTAAATCCTAAAGGAATTCTGGTAAATCCTAAAGGAATTATCTGATTCGTCCATATTCAACCAGACATTTTTTTCAGTGTAGTGATGCCAACCACTGATACAAAATTCGGTAAGCTATTTACAAGATTAGATTTTGACAAATTGCATTTTCACAAATAAGCTTAAAAAATACATATATATTCATATATTTGTATATATAGATACATATAGTGTATATATGTACATAACCTAGTAAATACCTTACCGAATTTTGTATCAGTGGTTGGCATCACTACTTAACAACTATGCTAAGCTAACTGGCCACTGTGAAACTGGGCCTTAAAGACAGAAATATGCGAGCAAACCAGAATACGGCGATACGATTTTCGGAATGGCACGAAGCTGCTTGCGGATCTTACGATCGACTCAAGCAGCTCGATTGCTGCTCTCACTGGCAACTGGAGTTGCGCGGTGTGAAAATTCAATTAAAATTTCAATCTATCGCCGCTATTGTTCCGCGAGGCGCGAGATTGGGCGCTTTCGACTAAGTCCTGGCTTCGACGTTTTATTTATCGGCACAGCATCTGGCACGGCAGCGAACCCGGGAGACGTAGACTAAAATTGTGTCGTCTCCGCGGAACCGCTGATTCAATCAATTTAGGGGCTATTTCGGGGAAACACTCGCCCCCGGGGTTCATCACCTGGGCAAACTCGACCGCTCGACCGATTATATCGCGAGTGACCGGAAACAAAGGACGCGAAACATGTTTATTTTTATCCACTTGTTCGCCGCGCCGCTCACGGTGTACGTGGAATATGAATATCCCCGAGTTATGTGCACGACAAACTAAATGGTTTCGACGCTCGATCGGCAAACAATTCGGCAATTCGACGACGAGACTTCCCTCGGATTCGCACTATCAAGCGTGGCAATCCGAGCGTCTGAGAATCCCAGGATTCGAGAATTCGCAAGTATCCCAGAATCCGAGGAATCCAGGGAAGAGCCAACAATTTTACTCCTCTTCTCACAATTGAAAAGGGTTAATGCCGCGCACGCTTTCCTCGTGTTTGCTGAATGTCCCGCGTCTGAATAGGAAACAAGGAAATTCGTTATCGGCCGCACAAAGCTTCTCGGGGAAACAAGTCTCGCCGAGAGAGCGAGAGAGAGAGAGAGAGAGAGAGAGAGAGAGAGAGAGAGAGAATTCCGCGAGAGTTAATCCCATAGAAAGGCAAGCTTAGTGTCTCTTCCCTCGGAATTTTATGACGGCCTTCTTCCAAGACGGTGATTTCTCCCACTGATATTACTTATTCGAGCTTTTCTTGGAATTGGCCCGAAGCACGATTTTTCCGGATTTTCCCCCGCACGCACTTTCTACGACGTGTCGCGATAGCCCGTATAAAACTTGAGAGCGACATTTATCGTCTCGCAGACGTGGCGATTGTGGAAATACGAAACAACGGATACGCGATGAAAAATACATTACGATTAAAAATATAGAGTGAAAAGGATATTTCCGCTCTTTTCGTTTACTATCGGAATCTGCCGCTCATTGTTCCCATATTTATTTAAAGCCGGCTCTACGCGACATATGTATGACAACATTTGCCAATGTGACATCGTGTGTATTGCGTATGATCAATTTACATCACGTACATCGCCAACACTCATGTTGGCCAACGTTTATGACGGTGATTTTTTTCGGGGAAAAAAAATAAAAGGAAATGGTCAACGTTGCCATTTGCGTAACTGGACACATTTGGCAAAGCGGATCGCAGTTTATAATGTGTTATTTAAACAGTGATATGATTTTATGAAGAGAGATCGATACTCGACCATCCACTAAATTTTCGAAAGTATTTGGTGAATGTTAATTAATTTTTGAAATAAAAAACGCACTCGCCCGTATACGCGTTCTCTTATCAAGCTACAAAAGTAGCTAATTAAGTTTTCTGTGGGATAAAACAATTTATAAACAATTGATATCGAAACAATATTTACATGGGACACACAATCTATCTGTCCCATGCGTTGCCCGGTTGAGTTATTTCTCTGGTAGGGCAACACTAATAAATTGGCTTATTGGATTCCGCATTTGGTATCAGTTATCGATGACACAAAATAACGAAGTTGCGCCATCAATTTGAACGGAAGGGCAATGCGAAATCCTTTAAATAAACGCGAGATTACGTAATATAAATGCAGATGAAATAAATCCCAATATGCGAATTAAAGTAACGACGGGATAAAATTTCAAATTCGAACGCGAACAGCCACTTCGACCTAATGACACGTTACACGGACTATTTGCGGACGGAACCGAGAAAATGAGACCGTTGTAACCCCAGCCGGTGGCCGAGGGTTAACGATACGCGACGAGGGACACCGCCACGCGTGCTTAATTGATTTCCTCCAGTCGCTGAAAACTCGCCTGTAATTGAGCAGGACATTAATAACTCCGCGCACTGAATAATTCGTAGAAACGTACGTCCCCAAAGTCTCAGGACGTGCCGGAGGACTTATCGATTTCAGATTAGCACGTAAATTGGCAGGCGAAGAGAGGGTGCAGGCTTGGCGAGGATGCAGGGGAGGGACGTGCTTCCGCCCACGCATCTGCTTGTCCCCAGGTCATTTGGGGATTCATTTTGATATTCTGGCTATTCCCCTCCTTTCTATATCGAGCGCTTTCCAATCGGAATTCAGCCTCCCCGTTTTGTTCCGTCTCCACCCTCTCGCTCGCTTCCCCGAAATGTAAATGCGCTTCCTAAAAGCGCTTTCAAATTTCTTCCCTACGTAATTCTCCGAAAACTCAAGTATCGCCGACACTTCCGCCAAGACCGGACTCCAATTTTAAACTCGGAAGTGAAGGAAGGGAAACCAAAGTTTTGTAACAGATGCCGCAGAACGACCGACTTAATAACTCATTTCGTCGGAAACAGAAACATTCGGCCACCAGCGTGGCAAAATAGGCGCAAAAGTGACAGTTGGACCAGAAATATCAGCATATTGTTGCATGACTCCTATGATAGTGTGTATCCCACATTTCCTTTTCTCCACACGCCGCGCCTTCTCTCTAGCTAGACGAGAACACTACCCCCATTATCGCCAGTCGAATAGGTCCGGGTTCATTAACCCGAGATACATCGATATATCGACGGCGGCTTTATCTGACTGCTCGGCTACACCTGATCACACATGCACAAAGCCATCTCCATTTTTAGGACAGCACTCGTTTTTTCATCAATACATCGCGTCACGGCCTTGATGGCGATTTGCGTTGACCTTGCATTTTGTTCGGGAGATCAGTCGGATGGTAACGCGATATCATAAGTAACGCGATACCATCGGTAACGCGATATGGCGTCATAGCGTCACTTTTAACGACGAAACTTTGCGTTCGTATCGTTTCCGCGAGTCATTCGCCGTGAAAACTTTCGAGCGACTTGTATTGTCGCGCTTTTAGCGCTGGATGTAACGGTTTGACCTTTTTTTTCCCCCCCTACAAGTTTTCATAGGAGAGCTTCGTCTTCTCTCTCTCATCTTGACGTAAATCTCTCGACTGGAAGGTTTCCCGTTAGAAAAAAGTCAACCATAAAGCCGAGATTATATCTTGTCTTATGAATCCCCCGATATTTGGTCGGAGACGTTTTCCGGATTTACGAGAAACACCGCGGGGGATTTTTATTCGACTACGAGAAAGCGGCGAATAATAAAGCAAATGTTTATCCGCAACTCGAAACATCGCGCACGAAGATTACTGGAAGGAAAATGTTTATAGTGACGAACCGGCGCGCATTTTGACGTCCGCCGTTTTATTATTGTCGTAGTTTGTTGCACGAACGCGATGAATCGCGCAAGTTGAGAGGCGGAAGTAGAATGGATCTCGCTGGAATGTGCCCGGCTTTCTTTCATTCCAGTTAAATGAACTGTCTGAAAATGCTTTTATCAATCTAACGACTTTGTATATGCGACACCAGGTCTGACGTTTCGCGCAGATTGCAGCGGGCACGAGAAATAAATCCGATGCTTGTGCGATAAGTTGAATATATTGCTCGACAAAATCTTTGTAATTTGATATCGATATTCAGGCTTGTCGATTAAATCCCTGCTTGTCGTCTAATTATGAGAATGAAAAAAGCAATAATTCGAAATGTCGCGAGCTCTTTCGCAAGTTAGAAACTTTGAGTTGCGAAATTCAACGTGTTCACTCAGCGCCTGCGTTAAAAAAAAGATAAATTTCTATCGACAGCGATAACTTGAAAATTTTTATCCTGCAAGCTAATTCGGAGCTTATAAATAGCTCACAATTTTGAGTCGTTTATTTTCCGGAATGTTAAAGGGTCGGCTGCACAGGGATCGTTGGATCAATCAATGCCAACGACATTCGGCAAATATACTGTCATCAATAGCAATTTTAAAAATAGCTTACGTAAATGTGCCTTAATATACGAACGAATGTTTCTGTTTCTGCGGGTTAAGTATCCGATATTCCTGTCCACTTTTCTTAATCCGATATGCTTTGATAAATAATGAGAGCGAAGGCACGTTCTCGATGGCGAAGCGTATCAAAAGATAAAGCGTTAAAAATTGAAGAAACTATAGAGGTGTACGAGAAAGGTAGCTATTTAAGAACAACATAGATATTCCTAAGTTCCGCGGCTCGCGGATAAAAGGGCATCGAAGAAATTGAAACAGGAATTACAAAAATTCGATCCGAGAGCCACTACATTGTCGCGCTTAGGGTCTTATTCCTCGATAACTCGCAGCGAAATTCAGAACTGTTATTTAACCGAAAATGTATGCGATCCTATTTGCAAAATCTCTTTGTGGTCTAATTGCGGCATGTATATGCGTGAACGAGAGGCATGAATAATTAAATGGAACGATATAGGACGTAAGCGAGTTTCAAATTATATACGAGCAGCTTTCCTTCTAAGCGCATTAGTAGAACGTAAAATTTTCCCTCAAAAATCGCAACTATACCGAAGCAGGAATAACGATTGTCTACTTTTACACGTCGTTGCAGCCACGTGTACGGTACACAGTAATCAATAGTTGTTTTTTTTTATAGATTTAGTTTGTAAATTCAATTGTGTCCGTTACTTTTAAACGAGATAAATGAAGGAGGTGAAAAGGACAATTTACGGGATGTTTCAGTGGGCGTGCGGGGGTGACTGGAGTGATGGGATGGGGCCAGAGCCCCATGGAGTTCGGGTAGACCCGTCTCCGGCCCAGCTCCCCAGCCCCCTCCGCCATCGATATCGACACCGCTCCTGCCAGCGACGCAGAGGGCCGCCTCGATCGCGATGGAGGCCTCTAGCAATCAACAACAAAAAGAGAAGGAGCCACGCGTTCACAGGCCTTACGCCTTCGACAAGGTATATTCTTATCTCGCGTGCGCGCGCGCGGATAAACCGTTTCCTACTATAGTCGCCGGCAAAGGGGGTTAACCACTAGCTAAAATACTGTCCCGCCGATTACATGATTGCATTAGATTTCATACCATTTCATCTGATTACAAATAATTTCATCTAATTGCAAATAATTTTCTTATATGCCCGTTCAAAAATAAGCGACATTGTTAAGAGCCTACTTTTTTCCCCACTGGTCTAACTGTGGTCTTAACGAGAAGTAATTTTGTAATGGTATCTACTGTTTATTGTTCCAAATTTGCGCGCAAGGGTGTATCGACTCACTGTCCCAACAGCAACTACTTCAGTCTTATTATGAAAAAAATTATATGCGTGAACTATGATATATACTTGGATATTCACTAAAAGAAGTCAATTTTTGGGGAAAATGGAAACAAGTTGAGAAAATGTTCCAACTTTATGTTCATTGTCTAACAAGCGAAGAAACTTGAGAATGGAGGCAAAACGATTACATGGAGATTTCGTAAGGATTTCACAATGATTTCGGAGACACTGTCCCATCATTACATTAAGTGGTTACCCCCTAATGACTAGGCGCCGCTCGAGAGCCCCGTTGGCCTCTCCTGACGGACCGTAATAATAATCGATCGTCGCGTTGATCTCTGGCGCAGATGGAGGGGCTGGTGCGGGAGATGCAAGACCCTGAGAGCGGGGTACCCGTGCGCAGCCAAAAACAATTTCTCACCTCGATCCCCTCAGCGTTCATGGGTGAGTGCCATCGGTACCTGCGTTGTGGAGTAAGCGTAAGCGGCCATCACGGCCAGGACACTACAGTAGGCTGCCTGCGTGTTGCAGGTTACGACCTCATCGAGTGGCTGATGGAGCGGCTTGCCATCGAAGAATCAGGTACGGGCTCGTATGTCTACTACTGATCGTTGCCGCGGCTGCCCTCCGCTGCTGTGCCGCTCTTTTCCCTCGCTCGCTCGCTCGTTCGCTCGGCTCGGCACGGCCCCCGGCAGCGTCCCCGTGACACGCGCAACCACAACGCCCTGCCTGAGGATACACTAACGACACTATCGATAATTTCGCTTCGTAGTATAATCCGATCCGCACTTGCATCGATACTTTCCGCTTGGTGCCTTTAAAGAGTATCGATTGTTTACTAACACATTATATACACTACACAGGATATTCTCTTTCGTTCAAGTCGAATATGAAATATTTATACCGCTGGTTATATAGTGAAAAGATGAGAGATTAATGACGAGAGAACTCGCGAATTTGCAGCTGTTTCGCGAGAAATGGTGAATATTCCCGCGGATTTTTCTCGTTTTCATTCCGTTCCTTTTTTTCGCGCTCGTACGCCCGTGCAAATGGAGACCGTAAATTACAGTCCCGTTTCGTCGCGAAGCGAACGTAATTCGCGTCGGATGAATTTAGAGAATAAATGTCTTCGTAACTCAGAGGGAATCACGGAGGAATTGGAGGATAATTTTTTACGGAAATATCGACGACTCGATATTTATCTAAACGATAGATTAATCGGATTAATCGTTGATTAACAATCACTTGGAGAGAGAAAGAGAGCGAGAGCGAGTTGGTGTCCGCCTCGAAGAAAGTTCACCGGAGCGACGCACAATCAATTCCGTTAAAGAACGAAACAATATAATTTATTGTGAGCGTCTCTCGACGTATGTCCGCTAGAAAAACTGTCTCAACAGACAAGCTCAAGCAAAATACGACACAGAGCAATGTGGCATCGTTTGAGTGGTCTGCACGTCCCTAAGCAACACTACACTAAGCGACCCTTAGAGACACTTCTGCCGATATAAGCGTTTCTTCAGATATCAAAATGTATTATTGTGTTTGACAGTAGAGGCGGTCCATATTGCTAATCAACTATGCCAGTATGGCTACTTCTTCCCGGTGAATGACTCCAAGACACTTACCGTTAAGGACGATAGCTCTCTGTATAGGTTTCAGGTGAGTCCTATTTAAAATTTAATAGCGAATTCGGTTACTTGCACCAGTGCGCACTGAGTGCACATTAAGGCTTGTTTATAGTCAGCTCTTATATTTAACTCTGTCTTAAATACACGTTCAAAGAGTATTTAGTTAAAAGATGATCCGTGTAAATGTTGTACAGACCATTTTTCGGGATAAGAAATATTGCGAGAGGTATTTAAGATGATCTTTAAATATAAGAATTGACTGGAGACAAGGCTTAGTGTGCACTCAGTGCGCACTAGTGCAACCAACCGAACTCGCTGTAAGAGAAACAAGACTTGCGCGCAACTTGGTCGGAATCTCTTAATCCTCATCTAAAAAAAAACAATTAACACGCGCAGACACCCTATTATTGGCCGTGGCAACATAAAACCCCCGACAACGTGGACTACGCGATCTATCTGGCTAAACGAACTCTGAGGAACAAACAACGTCACGCTCTCGAGGAGTATGAGATCGTATGTAAATTTACGTTTGCTAATAACGCGCCGAAAAAAAACAAAACGTCAGGACCTTCTTTCATAAGAGAAAATCGTACTATCTTTAGGAAGCTTTGAACAGTCTGCGCAAGAACTTGCAGAACAAGTGGGACATCATACAGCTACAAGCGGAAGAACAGGTGAATAACAATCCCTTACTACCGCGCTTAATTTTCGTCGATAGCATACCGAGAGTATTGTCCCGCGTAAATGCCAATTCCGCATATTCGAGCACGTGACTCCTTGAAATGCTGCTGATTGTGTGGGCTCAGGTACGCCTATCCAAGGAGCGCAAGAAAGGCGACAAGATAGTAAGCGACTCACAGGAGCGAGCATTTTGGAGAGTCTATCGGCCGCCACCCGGTTGTCTGAGTAGCCTGGAAGTCGTGCCCGTACCCACTTTTCGTCCTGGACTTCCACGGCCTCCGTCACGCAAACGCACTCCTACCGATCTACAACGTGAGGTGAGCGCCGACTACGTCGGCCGGCAACGAGTTTCGTTCTGAAATTACCGATTTAACATGCCCGTGTACGATTGTAACAGGTGGCCCTTCTGCGGAACAGTTTGACGCGCACCAGGATAAAGGTTTCGACTGCGATCGAAAATTTTAAATCATACTTTGAAACGTACGTGGAATACGATCCGATGTTCGTACAGCCACAACCTTCCAACCCATGGATCACCGACGATCATACGTTTTGGCAACTGAATAGTCCCTTGTAAGTAATTGAAATCTGATACTCGGCTTATGGAACGTGGCGGCAAATTCGATAATGTTACTTTGTACGCGTGTCTAGAGTGGAAGTTCCTACAGAGAAACGTGTTAAACGATGGGCGCTGTCGATGGAAGAACTTATGTCTGATCCTACAGGTAAAACTTTTCGATCGCATTAATACAACATCACGTTCATTCCGCTAGCGAACTCACGTGCGCTATTCTGCCGCAACAGGTTTACAAGAATTCACGAATTATTTAAGAAAGGAGTACAGCCACGAGAATATAAGATTTTGGCTGGCGGTCAAAGATCTCAGGCATAGTTTTCAAGCACAAATACCCGACAAAGTCAACGAAATTTTTAGGTACGCGTTTGTATAACGTGCTAGTTTGAGACTGTGAGACAAAAAAAAGGGAACCTATTCATAACGCTCGAAAATTCACGCAGAGAATTCCTGGCACCTGGAGCTCCCTGCGAAATCAACATAGACGGGAAAACGATGGAGAAGGTTCATCAGGAGATGAAAAATCCGAGCAGATTTACATTCGATTCCGCCGCGGAGCATGTATATACGCTATTGCTGAAGAAGGACTGCTATCCTAGATTCATTCGTTCCGATCAATATCGTAATCTCTTAGCTGCCGGCGTGCAACCTCTGCAGAAGAAGAGGTAAGCCATCGACGAATCACGCGTGGTATTGCGCAGGATACAAGCGTCGAGGCGTGTCCCGTGTCTGGTCTTTTCAGATTTTTCGTGTTCGGCGGCCAAGCCAAGAAGAAAGTTTCCTCCACTTCGACACCAACGTCTAGCACTTTGCAGCACTCTAACATAAGTAGCGGCGGCAGACGACGGGGAAGCGACCGGAGCCTGTCCGGAAGCGCTCACGAGCTCGCGGTGTGCGGCGTCCGCGACGTCACCTCCGCACCGCGAGTTCCGCACTCCCACAGCCAGTCGAATCTCACCGACATCCCATACAGGTATGCGGGGCTTGAGGGCCACCACCGAGAGTGGTTTCCGGGAGAGAATATCTGTCCTACGCGCTGACCGGCGAGATACGGGCTATTCTTGCGCTTTTAGCATGTTATCCGTGTACGCGCGATATCGGGTGGACGTGGCCGATGATAGGCTTATTCGTGCGCGTCGTATTTTCAGGGGAGATCTACCACGACTCGTAAAGATACCTTCGAGGCCTAGTCCACGTAGTATTCAGTAAGTCACACCCCCGATACATACCGCGGTTTTTCTCAATTAAGTGTAGGAGCGGACGGCGCGCGCGGAGCGCTCGACTACGACCTACTCGCCCTCCCTTCGTGCCATGTCACCGTGCGACGCGGCGTGCCGGCTCTCGCGTATCTCGAAATGACGATCGAGCAATAACGAGCCCGGCCCCGAGATACACGAAGGGAGGGCAGTACGAGTTATTAACGCGCTCCGTTGCACCGCGGCTCCACTGTACCTTCGTATCAGACTTTGGCAGACCCTCTTATCTCGGTGTGTTTGAAAACTCTCGCACTTTCAAAGAAATCATTTTGTGAAAAGCTCACCAAAATCTGTGTAAAGCGTGTATCATTGGTAATAGTACTGTATGACAATATTGTGCCCGTTCCTTGATAAATCTCAGTGTTTCTGAATACTATCAAGTATCATACGCGGAGTGTCTCAAAGACCTCTCGATCTTTCGATCGCGCGTCTCTATTTCTTTAACTGAGAAAAATATCCGATGAAAAATATCACCGGTTTTCCGATCAAATGTCATCGGGAAACTTAACCATCGAAAACACTATTTTATTGGTTTAGCCGACGGAGATTTTTCTCAGTGTTGTCAAGGAAACAATTGTTGTTGACCTGTTGTTGTGTTTTGAGACACTCTGTATAATTGTCTTGATGTCGATATTGTGTCGTCCGTATCAAGCTTACTATACCTCTGTGCCCATATATATATATACATATCTCTCTGTAATACTTTATGTAACACATACGTGCGATACTTGTCGAGCACACTATTTGCACAGCAAGAAAAGTATGTACCAACTCTGTCCACGTTATAAAATTTTTTTTTCTGATTTACGTCTTGAAATGTTTCGCAAGGGTGTTTTTACAATGTTAAAGCCCTGCGTTTATTCGAATGCGCGACGAGGACTCTGAGAATTGAAACGATTTCACGTCAGAACAAATCGCCCAGACCCCTACTTACGGGATGCCCCGAAATTATTCATCTCCGTTCCGCCGCGGATCTCTCGAGCCGGATAATTTCGGGACAGCCCTTGCAACGATTCTATGTACAAAGATCCTAACATCTCTTCCCTTGTCGTTGAATGGAGCCGCATGCATGTACCGACCCACGTTGGCGAAAGACACACACACACACATATATATACGCAGAAACACACGTAACACACGCACACGAAGCGCGTGGTACCTCCGCCGAAAGCAAAGCGGTGAAAACTAAATATAATAAAGTTCCTGTTGTCAGGGATGCTGGCGCGACGGAAGCGGCAGCTCGCCCTATGGACGACGTGTGTCCGTGGGAGGCCGTGCCGGGCCCGAGCACGGACCCCGGAGGACCGGGGGACGCCGCGTCCTCTGGCAGGACAGCGTCAGCTGATCAGGCCCGACACGTGTGGGACAGTGGCGGCTACGCGACGACCGCCCACTCCGCCGAGGCCGCGCGCGCCTCCCGGAAGAATTCGGCGCAGTTGGACTCGTGCAGCTCGTCGTCGGACGTCAGCCTTGCTATCGCGGACGTCTCCGAGCGGCTGCGGAAGTCGTGTAGTTTGCAGCATAGCGGTAGCGTAGGTCGGTAACAATCGTAACGTGAAACGAGAGGTCGCGTGGAAAGAGTACGGTCGTGTCTTAAAATGATTATGAAACGTGCAGGTACATCGACTTCAGGCCCCGGCACGATAACGCGCAACTATTCCACCTGCTCAGCGAGCGGCCGTATCAGGCTGGCCGAGATAGGTCGCGCGTCCGTGTCGTCCTGCAACTATCCGTCGCCCCAGCAGTCATTCGAGTATTCCCACGCGGTGGTCGAAAAGGTGGAGGAGATGTCGTCCCTGGAGAAGATCGTGCCCGAGGAGGAGACCGTCGCGGAAGTAGTCGTCGTCAAGGAGAGCCAGCCGAGTCCCAAGTGAGTTACCCAGCCCCCGCGGGACCGTCGCCCGGAGACGATATTCGGGGTCTGCGATCGATAGACCCAAGTCTCGTAACTGTCCGTAGGACGAGCGCGAAGGCGCCCTTGATCAGCATCAGCGCGATCGTGGGCGACCTGCCGAGCGACAATTCCACGATGGAGAACGCCGACGAGGAGGCGAGCGAGAGCTGCACGGCCAAGGATGTGGGGGAGATCGTTGCCGAGGAGAAGACGAGAGGCGAGGACTCGCGGGCCGACACCGGGGCGGACGTGTCGCCAGTGGCCGAGGAACCGGCGACGACCGAGGAGCTGCCCGAGGAGGCGCAGGTCGTGCCTGTCTGGGAACCAAATGCCCAACAGGAGGACCGACCGGCGGCGGCGCAGGCAGTGCCTCGGGAGAAGCGTGACAATAATGTTAACGAAGTATGCCCGTGGGAGGACGAGTAAGTACCTGACCCGACCTAAACCGCTTACGCTTGCTGTCGCGACGATCGCTTCCAAAAAGTTTCACTCACCGTACTCAAGTAATAAACCTCAAGTAATAATGTTCTTATTCGTACGGAGCGCTCACTGTCTGTTTCAGGGAAAACTGTAGAGTGGATGCACCCTATGTAAAAACCTATGCGACTTTAGGTTACTTGTAATTTGTCGTTGATATTAAATCTTGCATTTTACATTTACAACATTCACAAATTCGATTTCCACTTTAATCCACTTTACTGAGCTCGCGTGTCCAGACCCTTGCGCGACGAAGCTTCGATCGCTGCGTTAATTAAGCGAAGACACACAAGCATCTTTCGAGGATAAAGTTTACTTACACGGAAGCATTGGAGGATTTAATAAGACGAGTGCACTTGCAGTCGCACGAGTACCGATAGTATTCCAATATACTGCGGGCGGATTTTCCACGATTTTGCGTCGGTAATCACGATGTTGCGTGCAATGGCAAGATTGCGAGCAGTTCGTTCGATAGAATCGATAGACGCGAAAATGTATGTATGTCGCGGGACGAAACACGACCGTCTAGTCTCTAACTTTGCATCGAGTCACTATTTATATCGTACGTATATGGCCTAACGCTCCGATTCGTTTACTCGAGATCGTCGGGATTCGTTTGGAATCTCGATTGACGGTCAAGGACCCGGAGCTCTTTCGTCCTTTCCGATTACTAGAGTTATTTAATCTCTACCGTTTGTACCATCCTTGGTATACGCGAGCCGCGTTGGCAAAAATAAAAAGTACGCAAACATTATTTGTCAAAGAGGCAGATCGAGCATTATTGTTTCAAATTAGAGCGCAGTCTCCGATGTTGCTCCTAGATTAACGTAGATTAACGTAGACTAGAAACCTAGAAGATGTGTCGCGTGATAAAAGTAGCGATAGATCATCTATCTCTCTCTTTCTTTCTCTTTCTCTCTATCTCTCTTTCTCTCTGTATTGAGTAAAACGTTCAACGGCGACGTGTCGCCGAGCAAAGTAGCGGGTAAATTCGAGTGCGCGGATTGGGAAACTCGTTATGCTCAGTTCGTATCGCGTGCAGACGCGCGCTCGTAGGGTGCCAGCCAAGCCACAGAGCCCTTCGGCCGCTCTCCATGGTCGCGCTTTTCCCGGATACTCACTTTTCCGCGAGTCACGCCTCGCGAAACTTTACGTTCCGATCGTCCCGACGTATACGTTACAGATACGCGGTTTAATTCCCCCTCGGAGAAACGTAATTGCTTCTCCAATTAACCGAAATCCGCGATCGGCGATGTCGCGTTAGGGATATCGCGGTCGCGATTACTCTCGAAATATCTCGTTTACCCTCCCCGAGATACATTGTGCATCCCAATGCGCGGCGCGTTACATTATTTAAGTGCACGTATCGAGTACTCGTCTTACTTACAGTTAGATTTATCGCCTAGAGTTAGCGTGTCTTACGCAGTGTCTTACGAGCGTTCGATATTAATTATTGAGAAATTATCGTGACCTGATATATCTTAAGTGTCTATTTCATGTTATAGTTCGCCCATTCGTCGTAATCGCGTCGCATTAATTAACCGACGGCGATTACGGCGACTCTACGGCGGTGATCCTCGGTTAAACGAGTCGTGAATTAATAACAAGAGAGGAGAAAAAAAAATGAATAAAAAAGCACTTGCGCGAATCTAAATACTGTTAATGTCGAAATGCCCATTGCTGTCGGATCTCTGATTCTGCGACTGCCCCAGGATCTCCGATCCAACGGTAAAGATCAAAGGCGAGGCTACTTAAAATTAAACGCATCGCGCTCTTATCTGTATCTTATCGATGTCTTTTCGTGTATAGTTTTTAAGATTAAAATGATACAATTAGTACACTAATTACCGACGACACGTTTGTCTCGCGTTCAATCACGAACTTTACGACGATTCTGAACGGCCAAATTCTCGTATTGTTCCCAACGAGAGGAAAGGATAATCAAAACTGACGGGAACGAAGAACGATTGCCTAATTATGCTGCACTTTACACGAAAAGATGGGAAACGAACGAACGAACGCGAGCGACAAGGAGAAGCAGGGACGCGGTGTGGTTCTAAATGCAAGCGAGAATGCTAGTTTTTTCTAACGACTGAATATCGAATCTTCGGGGTGACGATTCAGCTTGAAAGTTCTTCGATTTTAAGGATGTATCCTGCGTTTATTTTCTACGTGCAATAGCGAGGAATAGAAACAGATGCGTAATACACACCACTGACAATTATTTGAGTGCAACGAGCCGGGTACGACGGTCTGGACACGCGAGTGTAATCATAAGGAACTCTAAAAATATTCACGACGATCGTACTGTTAATTCAGCAGCTCAACTTAAGTATCGTAAAGTTCTTACGATAGGTTTAGCCGATAATAAGACTAGTGTAACACACATGTCCCGCGATTGAGATATAAGGAAATCAATATGATATACTTACTACCGTGCGATTTCGTTCGCGTCATGGAACGCGGTAACGAATTACTTTTCGATTCGCCCGCGTAATTTTATTGTACAAGCCGGGATTAAGTGCGCCGTAGTCGAATCTTCGGGAAGACACGCAAGACGAGTGAACTCGGATGCTGGAGAAAACGCGAATTCTAAGCAACGGAGGAGCCATGGAGCAAATCAAAAGCAAAAATAAAAAAAGAACGAAACGTTACTCGCCTAAGAGGACGCTAATTCTGTGTAAATAATTTCCGATATCATCGCGCATATATTCGCTCTCTTTCGAAAATCTTGGAAAATATATATTATATTCATCACGCAAGCCAAAGACCCTTTTCTCTCTCTCATCGCGTCGCACAACGCAGGAGATGCGCGCAAGCTTCGCGGTCCTACGCGCTCTGTTGCCGGAGCCCCTCCTGACCACTTTGCAGAAGTGAGTTCAAGCGAAAACGGATAATTTTTACTGTTATTAATTGCAACGAACTACCACCGTGGACATTTGGAGCAACGCGAGAGCACAACTTCCGAGCCTTAAAGTTACTCGAGTGCACCGGACGACAGGTGCACCGCGACAAGATGAATCGTTACATTTTTCTCTAAGTGTAAGTCAATCGCGATTGTAGTAATTACATGTCATCAGCCCTGCGACCGCGATCGAATCGCGCGATCTGGCCCTCGGTTATGTCGCCAAAGCAAACCATCTACGTTCGGCAGCAGAGCCGACGGGGGGGCAACCTTGAGCGCATCCGTCATGCCGCATTTTGTATAACTTGAAACCGCGACGTTTGGCGTACATCGATTACATTTTTAGCATACCATTGTCAGAATTGCAGGTTCAGCTCGGAAAGTTCCGTCGTTGAATGGACGTTTAATGCGAAACGCTCTGAGGAGCGACTACAAATAATATCTCTTTGCTATTCCGACGTTGCGATTAACTCCTAAGCGAAGGGAATGCAATTATTTCGAGTGCCGGTCAATCCGGGGGAGGTGACGCTTGTACGATATCACGGAACCGGAAATGTGATTAGCTCTCATAATTTAGCGTACGTAGGCGAAAACGGTAGATGCGAATAAAGTCCAGAGTATCTTTCTAAAATAGTATATATATATACATATATATATACACATTGCTAAAATATTATTGCGCAATGAGAAATTAACTTGCATAAATTATTCGTGTTTTGCAAGTTGCACTTTTGAAAAGTCTGCGAGATCCGGTGCCACCGTATATATTGTAACATTATTTTATACAGCGTTTCTAAGCGTTTTGTTTTATAGTATGTTTTCGCGCGACTTGAAGAATTGTAAATATTGTTGAAATAGTATTTATGTACGTTTGTCGCATGCATTTATAAATTGCAATTATATTTTTATCTATAGACATAAAACGGGTAAGCGCGACACTTTTCTAGTAAACGCGACAAGCGCTGTCGCGTTTGTTACGGAAAGTGACGAGAAGATGATTTCATGAATTCGCAATCTCTCGAAAACTATAATAATTATTATCGTCGTAAAAAAACAAGAGATTTTAACGGAAGAGACAATGTTACTGTGGACTGCAGCTGAATGGACTGGATTTCCCTTGGGTCGGTGAAATACGCGGGATATTTTTATCATTAGAAAATCTAGACGGATCTATCAAAAAGTAAATTAATTAAATTAAATAAAATTGACGGGACTTAGGCAACAATGTGCACCAATTAAAAGTCAACGCACTGTCGCTTCTACGCTGAATTAAGATCTAGTTGTTCCAATTGCCGTGGATCTGCGATTGGCCGAGCGACGTGAACCTCGCGTTTGTCGAATCGCGGGGTTACGCGTGCAGCGAAGCGATCGTTTCAAAGTGCGTAAGTTCTCACACGCAGCCTAAGGATACGCCATCGTTGTAAAGCGACTGCAAAATTGTACGTGTCACGCGCGCAGACCTGAGAGACCCCAGACGCTTTGGAGACCGTCGACCGCCGTAGACCCAAATGTTTTATTTTTTTCCTCCTCCCTTGAATCTTTAATTCTCAAAATTTACTTTAGCTCCTACTTAAAAGAACCCACTTTAATGCTAAACTGGTAAAAGTAGACATTTCCGACACTATCAGTTTTAACGCACGAGTAAATTTTGTACTTGCAGTTCGACCTCTTGTACTGTCTTAGGTCCTACTATATAATAGAATTAAAGGTTCAACATAGGACCACAATTTCGACTCGGGAATTTACACCTACATAGACCAGCAATAACCTACTTTGATGACATTATATTTTTTACTCCTCCCTTGAATCTTTAATTCTACAAATTTACTTTAGCTCCTACTTAAAAGGACCTACTTTAATGCTAAATTGGCAAAGGTAGAAGTTTCCGACACTATCAGTTTTAACGTAGGAGTAAATTTTGTACTTGCAGTTCGACCTCTTGTACTGTCTTAGGTCCTGCTATATAATAGAATTAAAGGTTCAACATAGGGTCAAAATGTCGACTTGGGTATCTACGTGTAATTTCGCGAAACACACATTTCTCGCCGTTTAAAAAGATGTGTATCGAGTCACATGTCGCGATCAAACGCAAACGTGCAACATTTTTTTCACTTACGGCAAGAAGTGTGTAAAAAAAGTGCTTCACCAAATTACACGTACATGTGTATTCAAGTAACGCACTTAAATTTGCAGTGAACGTCTACGGTCGTGCACGGTCTTATTCATTAATGCCCGGACCTGCAGTTTTATCACCATTTTCCTCATCTATACACGGAAAAAAGAATGACGTATGGTATCAACAAGATAATGGAATAAAATCGTTGGAAACAGCATCAGTATTAATAAATGAAAAACATCAGATTGTTGTCTTAATAATCTGGATGTTTACTTCGATGCTTAAAATTAAAATCCACAGCAAATACAATTGGGTGGAATTATTTACGTTTGTGGCAGCCCGTGGCGTTAACGTTTAATTCAAGCAACTTCATTTTGCTTAATTCAACAGCATTTTTTTTCCGTGTACAAATCACTGAGTTTCAGGCTGTACCCATGTGCTACCGCAGACTCCTAATTGAATTCGCGGGTTGTTTCGCGGAGGAAAGTTGACGGCTCTCAGATCTACGAGCGTGATCGATTCGGCGCTTGATCTCGGAACGGTCTCGAGAGACGCATGTGCGTCACACACATACACATACACACGTACACACCGATCGACGAGGAAGGATCCAAAAACTCCGAAATTCTGGATCCTCGGATCTCCCGGTCCAACTCCTCTCGCGTCTCGAGGCCGCGGCGGGAGACGGTCGGATTTTCGTCGCGCGTTGCCGCGCGCAGAAACGCGAAAGATTCACGACCGGCGTTTTCACTGTCCTCTCTTCGAAACGGCTGTTCCGCGCGGGACACGAAGCCTAAGCCTAATATTGCATTTGTCGTGCGACAATTTTCTTCAAGCGTGTCGACATCGGCTGCAGAACAGAAAGGTTCTCGAGTCTCTAAAAATGATCTATTCTGCAGGCGATCGACACGCTTGAAAAATTTGTCGCGCGACAAATGTAATCTTAGCCTTGTGCCCGTTCTACACCCAGGGATGATCCTACTTGTGGCTCATCCGAGTGCTCTGGCACCAAAAAAAAAAGACAGGAACCCATTTTGGAGCCCACAATTAGCAATTTGTTTGAATTGTTCGTAACTCTAATCTTTTACGAGTTTCACCCCGCGTAACTAAAAATCGCAATTAGCTATTCTATCTATATTCATGATTTTTAAGCAACGCTAATCGATTCTCTCAATTAGTTCTGTCGATACTCAGTAACGCAGAGATAACTTTCACTCAAGGGGCACTAACCGAAATGTTAAGTTGCTTAACTACAAAAAAAACGGTCCACATTTTTCCCAGAGTAGAGCTACGAAGAATCCAAAGAATTCGATTGCTAATTGCGGGCCCCAAAATGGGTTGCTAACCGTCTTTTGTTTCCCAGAGTGGAGCAGTTTACACGGGCATTTTCGTATGACTGTCAAGTATGGTTTTGGTAGGACTTCACTATGAGTTTTAACCATCTTCTTATGTAGAAACGGCACCCGAGTGCCATAAACGGTCTCGATACGACGATCCTTGTCCATTTACTTACTCGCTCGGATGAGCCGCAAGTAGGATCATCCCTAGGTGTAGAGCCGGGCATTAGGGACGAGAACGCCGGCGAGACTGGTGGTAAAAGTGCTGCAAGTTGGCGTCGTTGAATCCGCGAGAACGGGAGAAGGCGCGAGAAAGCGAATCCACCCCTCGAGATCCGCCTCCAACTTACGCCCGCATCCCTCGTTTCCCAATCGATTAACTTGTCGCGTTGAAGGGGAATCGATGTCGTTCCGATTACACCGAATATTCCGCCTCGCAATCGCTACCGCGATCAGTCTCGGGTGGGGGTGGGGGGGGGGATAAATCCGATAAGCAAGGTGCGATTTATTTTCTCGTCAAACCTTAGAGAAGCTTCCGCGCCTCCGCGGTCCTAACGACCGTTTATTCGATACACACCAGGCGGAAGATACGTGACTAGCGAAATGTGCGCTTCAAAAGAGTACAGAAACGTCACGCTTAAATTGCACTGCCAGCCAAACGATAGTTGAAAGAAGAAAAAAAAGAACAAAAGCGAAACTGTATTTTTCATTATTTCGTAAGTAAAACGGTGAGGCGCGTGCGCGCGCGCCGAAATGTCGATCGCCGGTAACGACGTCGAATCATCGGGATTGAGCCAACGATCGCTCGCGAGTGTAATCAATTACCTCGGCGAGATAATCTGAGACGCGAGCGAGCGGACATCCAGCCTGGATCACGCGGATCTTCGAGCGTGCCGCGAGCAGCACCCGGAGCTCGCAGAACTGATTCCTTTTCAGCACCGGCGTCTTTTCGCGCGAATTTTATTTGATTGACACCGACTCGAGTTTCTAGGGATCGGATTTTCTGCTGAACTAATTATTGCAATCTTCCTTGTACCGTTTCTGCGCTCGATTCATCTCAAGGTTCTTACCGGTTGCGATCGGTTGGTTGACCAATTATACGTCGCGATTTTTATTTCATTGCAATTTTACTCGAGATATACTTTCAGTAGACAGACGACGATGAAAACGAAATTTTTTACGTGCCGCAAGTTCACTTCACGGAAAGAAATCTCTTCGGCGAAACTTTCGGAATGCATTTCCGATTGAGGCTGGTGTTACGTTTGTCGTACGACACATTTTTCAAGAACGTTGATTGGCTGCTGGACAGAAAGTTCCTAAATACTCGACAACTTTACTATCCCGGAACCAATCAACGCGCTTGAAATCAAGCGCGTTGATTGGCCGCAGAGTAGAAGAGTTGTCGAGTCTCTAGAAATGATCTGATCTACAGCCAATCGGCACGCGTGAAAAATCTGTCGCACGACCAATTTTTCAAGCGTGTCGGTTGGCTGCAGAATAGAAAAGTTGTCGAGTCTCTAGAAATTGTCTAATCTACAGCCAATCGACACGCGTGAAAAATCTGTCGCACGACAAATGTAATATTGGGCTTAGGCTGCTCTGGGGGAAAAAAAGACAGTTTGCAACCCATTTTGGGGCCCACAATTAGTAATCGAATCATTTGGATTGTTCGTAACTCTAATCTTTCACGAAGTTTACCCCGCGTAACTAAAAATCGCAATTAGCTGTTCTATCTGTATCCAAGATTTTTAAGTAACACTAACCAATTCTCTCAATCAGTTCTGTCGATATTCAGTAACGCGAAGATAATTTCCACTTAAGGGGCACGAACCGAAATGTTAAGTTGCTTAACTACAAAAAGACGGTTAAAATTTTTCCCAGAGTGGTATTACATTTGTCGTACGAGAAATTTTTCAAGCGTGTTGATTGGCTGCGGAATAGAAAAGTTGTCGAGTATTTAGAAATTTTCTATCCAGCAGTCAACGTTCTTGAAAAATGTGTCGCGCGACAAATGTAATATTAGACCAACGCCGAGAGTACTTTTCAAAGGTTACTAACAAAAATTTGTGTAGCATCCAGAAGAACGATAATGCACACGACGCGGCTGCAAAATGGCCGCCGTCTCGTTCAGCCCGATTCAATTTTCGCGCGCGGACAGTCGGCTCCCACGCGAGCTCGGTCTTTGGCCCGTATTCTAAATCCTCTTTTGCCGATAAAAGCGCCCATAAAAGTGGCTTGTAGCCAATCAGAAGGCTTATTAGCCACTTTTAAAGGCGCTTCTATCGACAAAAGAAGGTTCGGGACGCGGGCCTTTGAAGGGCGAGTCGAGCCGCTCTGTAAAACTAACGTCGAGCGCAGATGAGACGACACAGAGGAAACGTGCACTTACGAATAATTCGCGCGGCGAGAGAGCGCTCCGACGTCTCAGATTTGCCACGCCGGCTCCCAGTGAGAAATGATTCGTCGATCGACGTCGAAATGATGTCGAATCGACGTCAATTCGACGGCGTCGATGTCGATTCGACGTCGATCGACGAATCATTTCTCACTGGGCTATTGTCAATCATAATAAGAGTCACTCACCGGCCACAGGTAGCTCCTCCGTCTCTCCGTCTCGACACCGTCGTCGTCGTCGTCGTCGTCGTCGTCCTCTCGTCCGTCGGCTCCTCCATTCCCCACGTCGAGCAGGCGCGATAGAAGCGATCGCGGCCGCCGGTTCGATCGCCGTCCGCCAATTAACGCGGCAACGGCCGGCCGTCGTGCGCCATCGCGAATATCGGGAAGCGATGTCGATCAACACTCGCGCACGGCTAATATCGCTCCACGGCGGTCCGCTCCGCCGCTCGGTCTGGCTCTCCGATCCACCCCGACCGGTTTCCGACGCGGTTGCGCGCCTGCGGACGGATAAATAACGGGAGACGCGGGATCGCCCGTCGTCCACCCGCTCGCTCGCTCGCCAGGGAGACTTCCGGAGGTCCGTTAGGAAAGCACCAACGACGCGACGGCAACTTCACGTCGGTCGCGCGACGACGATCGTCGACAGCGACGAGAAGCGGAAACGCGGATTCGTTTGATTCAGAGACGCGCGCGGCGACGTCGCCAAGAACCGCGCGAGACTTTCGTGCTCGGCCGAAAAGTACACGGCGCAATGAACGGAACGTCCTCTCGGCTCGACGCACGGCTCGCGACTCCCCCACCCCACCCCACCGCGCGCGCGAGACTCGATGTAAACACGACGCGCTCGAGCCGGCCGGCCGGAAGAAAAACTCGGAAGAAAAAACTCGCGCTACGTCGTATTCGGAGAATGTCGAAGGCAGTTTATACTCAACCGTTCGTCGCGCGATTTAACGCTCTGTGTTGTCGCAGTGTAACTTTGGCGTCGCACGCGCACGTATCTCTTTCGAGTCTTGCTTCGCCTCTCCGCCGCAACTTGTTGTCGTCCTCTTCCGCGAGTTACGAACCGTTCGTTCCGGCGATGAAAAGTTTTCGAGTGTCGAATTGATTGTTGGTTTCATCCGCGGGTTAACGTTCGCTGGCTCCGCGTTACGTGGACTTTCTTTCGGACGCGAAAACGAAGACGGATCCTGAGGGTGCAAACTCATAGAGCGGAACGGTGTACGCAGAAATTCGCGGAACGGAAGCCTTGACCAATCACGAGTATTCCAATGTTTTCGTGATTGGTCGAAGCTGTCGTCCCGCTTTTCTGCGTACACCGTTCCGCTCTATGAGTTTGCACCCTCAGAGCGAATTACGCACAGTGTTTGAGCCGAGTGCCATTGGAAAGATAAAGAAAAAGAAGCGAATTACGCGATGCCGAAACGCTGTTGAGACGGGGAGACAATTTTCGTGCGTTTTCAATTGATTGAAATACTACGCGACTGTGATCATCAAGCCCGTATCAAACTACGGATTGAGATTGAGATCAGATTGAAATTTGACCAATTGGAGTAAAAGTTACTGAACTTGGGATTAGTAAACTTTGCTGTGATTGGCCGAATTTCAATCTAATCCCAATTCTAATCCGTAGCCCGATACGGGCTTTACGCATCTACATTACGACCGAAATATACGGAAAGTTTCGTTCGCACGTGAACGATTGTATGTATCGGCACCTTTTTCGGTCTGTCTTTCTCCCTTTTCCCCGCTTTTGCGCGTTCGACGTCAAGTTGGCGATGTGCGGCCCATAGGTATAGTAAATATAGACTGAGCGTCCCATTGAATAAGCTGAAGCTTAGAAGAGAGAGAGAGAGAGGGAGAGAGAGAGAGAGGATTTAAGAAGGCTTTCTTTCTCTGTCTTACACCATCGTGAAAAGGGAGAATCACGCCTGCGCAGTACTACGCAGGCGTGATTCTTTCCTTTTACGACCGTGTAAGAGAAAGAAAGAAAGTAAGTCTTCTTAAATCCTCTCTCTGTCTCTGTCTTCACAAGCTTCAGCTTATTCAATGGGACGCTCAGGTCGGTATTCGTAGTCGATTCTTATTTCAAAATCATCTTAAGTCTTGTCTCAAGAAGCTAACTACAGCTCTGTGATTGGTTAAAAACACATTAAGAATGTACCTAAGATGATCTTAAATATGAGAACGGACTATGAATACCGGCCACAGACTATATTTGCCATGCTATGGTGCGGCCTCTCGAATTTTTCGTCGCGAACGCGACGCGCTTTCCGGCAAAAGGGCGATCACGTTCTCGAGGGCGCGCGTGGGATCGAGCCCAACGGAATATCACCTCGATCGTTCGCGACGCCCGAACGCCGAGCGAAACGGAGAAGAACGGAGCCGTCGGCAGCGAGAGAGGAGGCAGCCGGCGCCGCATCGGTCGGTGAGTAGACGCATCCCCGTTAAGCCCGTGTCAGACTACGGATTGAGATTGAGATTGGATTGAAATTTGACCAATTGGAGTAAAAGTTACTAAACTTGGGATCAGTAAACTTTACTGCGATTGGTCAGATTTCAATCTAATCCCAATCTCAATCCGTAGTCTGATACGGGATTTAAACCCGCATCGGACCACGGATTGAGATTGAGGTCAGATTGAACTTCGACCAATTAGAGTAAAAGTTACTGAGCTTGAGATTAGTAAACTTCACTGTGATTGGTCAAGTTCCAATCTAATCCCAATCTTAAGTCCGTAGTCCGATACGGGCTTTACGTTTCGAACGAACGATCGTTCCCTCTCGCGATGAACCGCGACTCGATCACGGATCTTTTTCTCACCAGCCGCGAAGCGAGCTTCATTGACGAGTTCAATATTTAGCAATGAAATTTTTCACCTTTCACCAATTCGCGCTGAAGATTCATGATTGAGCCGCCGACACCAAGGGGGTAACTGCTGGCTAAAATGTTGTCCCGCCGATTACACGATTTCATTTGATTTCATACGATTTCGCCTGATTACAAATAATCTCATCTAACTGCAAATCATTTTCTTATATGCACGTTGTCAAACCTCAAAGAGCTTAGATTTCCTTAAAATATTTCTTTCTTATTTTACTAAGAGGTATTTGCTTGTAGAGATAATTTCAGTTAAGATTGTAGTATTCGGTCACGTGTTTCCTTATCTCCCACTTTTTCCACTAGCCGTGGTCTTAACAAAAAGTCACTTTGCATTTGTATTTGCTGTTTATTCCAAATTTGCGCGCAAAGGTGTATCAACGTCTCAGCCCGCTGTTGTTCTAACAGCAACTACTTCAGTCTTATTGCGAAAAGAATACGCGCTTGCAGGTGTGAACTATGATATACAGGGTGTCCCAGGAGGAAAGGTCAATATTCTGGGAGGCGACGGTATCGGTCGTTTTAAGCAAAAATGTTCATACAAATATATATATGTCACCTCCCAAAATATTGACCTTTGCTCCTGGAACACCCTGTATATTTGGATCTTCACCAAAAGAAGTGAATTTTTTTTTTAAATAAAAAGCTGAGAAAATGTTCAAATTTAATGTTTATTGTCCAACGAGTGAAGAAACGTGAAAATTACGACAAAACGACTACGTCAAGTGGTTACCCCCTTGCCACGTTTCGCGCGGGGGGGGGGGGGGAGAAAGAAGAGAAGATTGCGCGTTGTGTGCACAGGATTACCTTCCGTTCCGCGGGTCCGCGAGAGGCAACGTTATTTCCGGTAGCTCGCCGCGCGAGTCGTAGGACTCGGTCCTCGCGAATACGATCATTTCCTCGTTTCCTTCTTTCATTCCGACGCGAGGAGCCAACTTCCCCCTCGTAATCCCTCGTCCCGACGCCGACTCGCGCTCATCGAAGCGACAGCGTGTCCGAGAGGGTTGTTCTCGATCCGCTCGCCTATCGTCCATGATCGAAGCTCGAGAGGCGGCTGTCCGCGATTAATCCTCCAGTTCCCGTAATTGCGCGCCTCTCCAATTTCGTCGAAAAGCCCAAGCTGAACCCGAGTGGCCTCAGTTAGACTTGAATTGCCGCGATAACGTGACAATATTATTAATTTCGATTTAAGCGTGATCAAAATGGAAGACAATAATTTTCACGCGGTTTATTTTACCTCATTATTAATGCATGAAATAATCCGTCAGAGCGAAAAGTGCTCCGCTAATTGCGTAATATTATGCGTATCGACGGCGCGCCGGGAACGAGAGGATTAACGATACAGCGGCGAGTCGTATGGAAAATATACGGAAGGAAGGGAGAGAGAAGTGTGGGGGGGGGGAGGGAGTACACGAATAATTAAACCGCAACCGACCGCGGACGTTAATTAGTTGCGTAGCAATTAGCAGTAAGTGACAGATAGATGATACCTTTGTATTATCGTACACCTCGCGCTAGAATTTGGCGTAGCACGAGTTTTAACTTGAAATGCGCTAATGTTACGCACTTTGGCGACGATTATTATTATTATAATGCGCGTAAGAGGACGCGTCGATATAAATATATATATATAAAATATGTTATATATACGAGAGACAAGAGGAAAAGGGAGGAAAAATGTTGCTAGCTAGCGTTGTAGACGATACAAAGATGGCTTTAGTGTATATAGTTTTGTAAAGTGTTAACTATAGTGAGGAGAGATTTATGATTATATGTATAATATATACATAAAGAACATCGCTGCGAAAACGTACTGGACTCGTACGTTTTTTCAACTGGTATCATTAATTATGAATTCTCGTTGGCGAGCGGAAGCGCGTGAAATTGGTGAACCGTCATCGTTTCGTTAAAAAAAAAACACAGCCGCATACTGATATATCGTGCGCGAGGCCGCGGGGAACGTTGACGATTACGTATATAATATGTGATATACGCGTGAAATTTTAAGCTGTCAATAGAATGTCCTAATATTAAATATTATAGTGCCATTACACGGCTTCTTTCGTCACTCTCCTCTCACGCGTTTCAGGAATTAGGTGTGTTATTTTCTATTTCTCACGCGGGGTCTGCAGTGCGAGTCGCAGGGTCGCGGTCGTGAGAACAATCGACTGTAATCGGTCAATTCAGTCGGACACGTAAGAATTGACCAATCGTAGTCAACTGTTCTTACGACTGCGACTCTGAGTCTCGCAGACCCCGCGTGTTACTTCAACTCCACTTTGGACAATCCGTAGATCACGTCGCGTTACGAGGTAAAATTCTCTTCACAATTTTGTGTGTCGAGGGGAACCATTCAAAGGACTCTAGTAACACCTGGTGGTTCATCGAAACGTTCGAAGACGTTTAGAAAACATGAAGAAAAACCTATATCAAACACCACGTGTATAATCGGAGAAACACAAGATCTACAAAATATACAGGGTGTTATGTAATACCCGCCTCACCTCTTATTTACAGATAGAGCGGACTAGACCGAGTCGAAAAGTCCTCTACCATTTTGCAATTTTCGCAATAAGTTAACGAGTTATTAATAATTAAAACTCGCTGTCTTAGCCCGGCCTTACCGTCCAATTCAAACGCACGCCGGGGTGCGACCGTCCCACGATTGGCGTTGCTAGCGCCAACTCAGTCTAGTCCGCTCGATCCGTAAATAAGAGGTGATAATGGAATTCCGTCTCGAAGTCCGACGCGAATCGCGGATCGTCTAAAGTGGGCTTTACACTTAGCACTCCTCAGAGGTTTTCCAGGAGGAAGCGTCCACGATAAGGTAAGAGAAACTCGTGTGTACAGGAAGGCTTTTCCACAGTGCTAAGCCAACTGCACACGATACCATTTTTCCTGCTGGATTGCTTACGAGAGCCAATCAGGATTTAGCCTTAAGTCACCTGATCTGAAACTCTGCATCCTTATTGTTTCTCGTACGCAATCCAATAGGATAAATAGTACCGTGTGCCATTGGCTTTACATGCACGCTGCGAAATTACGCGCGTTTACGGTCAGACTTTTATTAATTGGACGGTACGCATATTCACATCCCACATCCATCCCGCTGTGTGTAGAATGTCAATACCGGTGACAGTTTCAATAACAGTTGCAGCGATCAGCCGGGCAATTGGACGGATAACGCATGCAACGTCTCAGGCAGTATTGGTCCGCGCCAGGTCTATCGGCAATATCTCCAATAGCGTCGCAAGTGTTCCTGCAATCGCAAATTGAAACGAGGCGTCAGAGGGAGTTTGCGAAATTCGTCGGATACTCGGTATCGAAAGTCACGATCGCTTGATCCCCTAATGCGATTCCGAGTGACAATTTATCGTTTAAACTCGCCGATCGATTTAATACTCACAGGCAACGGCAGACGCCAGGCGGACAGTTGGACGGGACGCGAATGCAATTCACTTGACACCAATTGGTCATATTCTGCCTGTATCGATAAGCCGCGGTCGGCTCGCACACTTGAACCCTGAAATCGTAAAAGCCGTGCACGCGCGCGCCCTGAACGGTGGACGCGCTCTTTGACGATGTGGCGCGAAGCCTCACCTGAGTGGTCGGGCGAGCGGCGCGGTCGAGTATTTCGGTGCCACGGAGTACAGCTCGTAGATGATATTCTGATACAGAAACCGCGGCGGCACCCCGCCGGTGCTGGTGACGATGCTCACGTCGGCGCAGTTGCGGAAAGTCTCCGGTCTGCCGCATCCGACCGCTTCCGTGCCGTTCTCGCACGTGCCCCACATGTTGCCTGGGTAGACACACGAGATAAGAGAGAATCGCCCTCGGCGTAGCGCTCGGATATAATACGCGAGAAAATTTCGTGCCTGTGTAATAATTCCACTGAATGACGCATTGCGAGCACGTTAAATACGGCGGTAACGTTACCATGTATTTAATGATGCCCTTCTTGCCCGTTTCGTGCGGAATCTCGAAACGAACGTCCTGTGTCCCGGATACGTACAGGGGATAGCTGTGCGATTAAGATGCGATTAGCGGTGGCAGAGGCGGCTCTTTTTACGCGCCGAATGCCTAGGAGGGTCAACTTACGCGTCGAAACACTCCTGCGTCGCCACCTGCGACGGATCGTTGTTCGGGCAGAGGTACAACTCGAACCTCCCGTAGTGGTTGGCCGTCAGCTCGATCTCCACCTCGATTTCCTCCAAACAGATTATGCTGACGTTGTACTTATTGTTAAGCCTATCGCGAGCACTCCCGAGTCGAAATTTTCGCCCTATGTTGAACCTTTAATTCTATTATACAGTAGGACGGTAAAAGATGTCAGACTGCAAGTACATTTACTCCTACTTTAAAACTGATAGTGTCGGAAATTTCTACTTTCGCCAGTTTAGCCAATTAAAGTAGGTCCTTTTTTGCTGGTCTATGTGGATGTGAATTATCCTTAAAAGTGCCAAAATAGTACCAAAATTCCGACTCGGGCTGGGAGAATTTTCTCTTAAAATTTATCCTGAAAATCACGCGATCGTGGGCGCAGCAGTGGCAGTGGTAAAATTTCAAAAGACTCTCGCGTAATTGTGCGAGATGCCGCGTTGTTCCACGATTACATAATTTTCGGGATAAATTGAAAAGAAGAAGCTTCTCTCCGTGTAAGTTTTCTATTCTCTTTTCGCAAAGATACAAGAGACGAAGTGCCATTTCTCGCCCTTTACGAGATTCGCGTTACGTACGAAAACGTGAGAAGTTACATTACTTGTCCCACGGTATAGTGTCGAACGATGATCCCGTTTGCGAACTCGCCTCCGGCCTCGTGCGAACGCGGCTGGCTCAGGTGATACGCGTCTCCGCAAACGCCGCACTTGCCTTTATTCTGCTGCCAATGCACTGACGGACAAGAGACGAACATAGAGTCGATATTAGCTCAAACGCCGAACGTCCGCGACGGTTCTAGGATTAATTCGCTCGCGACGACGAACCTGCGTATCCACCGCAGAAGAGCTCGTTGTCGTTGTAATTGACGGGATTTGGATAGCCGAACCTCCACATCGCGTTCCTCGACGGAGGATCCATTAATCTTCCGTGCCCGTGGGTCGCGTCAGGCGCCTATTCGTGGGATCGCGACAAAAGGTAGGTTCGAGAGCAACAGGTAATAAAAATATTGCGTAAAAAAACGAAACTGTTACTCTGCACTTTTCTTCGATCGCGCTACACACGCAATGCCATTAACGCCGAACGGCCTCGTTAACTTTTACTCGCGTGCGTGAGGTATTAAGGGCGCGTCTGCGGGAAAGTGCTGTGAAATGGCGGAATTGTCCGAGGCTATTGGGCGCGTTTAAGGTGCATATTGAAAAACGAGTTGGCACGGCCGAACTTTCGTTGCCACTGGCAAAAATGAGGCCTTTCAGACTTCCATTGAGCGTGAGTTTACGACAAAGAGAGGGACGTCTGCGCGATCGAGAGCGTGCAAGTGCTATTAATCATTTTAATCTCGTTTGCGTAATTATCGCAATTATAAAAGAAATTATCTTACCTGCACGAAGAGATATAATATTACGAGGACAACGTTTCGTTGATGCCTGGTGATCATTTTTTTCCCCTGAAACCATCATAACAATTAGCAAAGTAATTTCGATCGAGAGAAGTTTCGTTTTTAAACGGTGAATCGATTATGTACGTGGAGTATCCGCTACCGTTCTTTGTTATAGACGGATAAAAGAAATTCATTGCGAAAGAAACAAAGCGATTCAGTGTCGTCAACGTCGAGTGCGTTAACTCGGTCAATTATAAGCCTCGCATTCATCCCGCATTCAGCTTCGGGGGAGAAGTTTTCAGGAGCATCTACGAGGTATGAGAACCCATTCCGAACTTGAATTAGGCACCGTGTCCAATCGCATAACAATGAGTTCCGCCTTCGAACGACGGGGGACGAGATTACAATGGAACAGGATCGTGGCGGACGTCCTTGAATCAGCTGGTAGAAGCCGAATCTTGCGTAAGAAAGTGAAGCAACGTGTATTGTGCCAATGGTGTCGTTACGACAATAATGGAGAACGTCGTTGGCACTTGTGTCACGTATTATTAAGCGGTACACGTGGCGTAGGATCGGCGCCAAGGATCGCTCGGGCGTTCTCTCGCCGAGCGGGGCAAACAGTTCTCTGTCGATTTTTCGAATAAATCTCAGCGTCCATTTTGCGCTCATAAAAACTCAACCGCCGTTGCTGATCGGATTATTGACGCGTCGATTAGCGTGTCGAGTGGAAGTGGAATCCATTGACGTGTACACGTGTCATTGACAGCTGTTTGACACGCGACGAGATACATGGGATGGTCTTAAGCGACGGCCTTCCTTTGGGCTCTAACGCGAACCATTTAAAGTGCCGCGGTCTCAATCAGCTGCTGAATTGCAAGTTGAATTTCGACGAGGTAGAAACGGTAGATTCATCATTCGCGACAGATGCTCAGATTTGATAATAGAAATAACGGCAATAATGTTCCATGAGTTTTTTTTTACGCGATATAACTGTATCCTCAAACGGGTGAATAGTTCAGTGCCTTATAACGTAATAATGCCGGTTAGAAATTAATATTATTAATATATCACATCAATATCCGTTGCGTGTACGACGATCTTTACGCACGATCGTTACACATAGACTATATCGTGTGGTGTTTGTCGGATCTCAATTTTTTATCGTCGAAGATCTGCCGTTTGCGCAGTAAAATTTTTGGCAAAGAGTGGACCGCAGGATTCGTGGAGCCACAATGAGATACATTCGGCCTGTAGTCGAAATAAAACCAAACATTCGTCGAATATAAAACGGAGCCGGTTAACCTTCGTTCGCCGCGAGAGCAAGCTGGTACTTGAAATCGCACTGATAAACGAAGGAGAGCACAGCCAATTTCCTTCGAAGGGACAGCTCGAAGAATTCGCCTGAGACGGGCGACGTAATGGAATTCAAAACGGCGTAGCGGCACGACGATGGGAAGCATAAATCTAGCGCTTATAGCAAGGCTGTCTAGCTCAGACAACAATGTCCCTCGCTCCCGCCCGATCTTTTCACGGACCTCCGCGACTTTAGCACCGAAATTCCTCCCGCGAGGGACAATTTTTAGGAGGGGGTCGCTACTAATCGCGATCGTAAAACACGAGATGAATGAAACTTTAGATTTCGGGAATAAACGCAAGCCGAACATCGTGCCCGGATTCCATCGCGAAGCGAATGACCGGAAAGAACCGATTCCACGAGCCTGTTTTAAAAGATCCGACGTTACCTTCGCCGAGCGTCGTTCACGATTCATTCTTTCGCCGAGCTGTGGAACCCGCCTTCTTCCGTTAGAGTTTGTGGATTTACAGGGCCACAGCGATTAGTCTTTCGCGTTCTAAATTACGCTCTAACTGTACATGACCTCCCGTTACTAGACTTGCGTTTCGGCTGGACCTAGTGACATTTTTATTGACCGGCTTATTATCTCGATTCATAAATATGTCGCGCGAACGCGAAGAAATGTACGAATAAGCCCATAAGCCGCATAAAGACGATCATAAGTTATCGGCATTAAGAATCCTCCTCGTGTCGTATTCTCTTCGGTATAATTGGTCGGTCGCGCGATTCGAAAGTTGCAGTCATAAATTACGGGTTATTCGCGTGTACTGCTCGCCCCTTATCGGTTAACAAACTCGTGACACATAAACGCTTAAAAAACCTTTGTTGCCCTGAAATTAATATAAATTCCATTAATGGTTAATTAAAAGAGTTGGAAACCGGAGAGCTCGACGCTCGCGCGAATACGCGTCGGATATCTCGAACAGGTACCCAGAGAACATGCGCGTCTAAAAGGCATCTTTAAGACGCCTATTAGATGTCTTTTAGATACAAGACGTGTCTTAACCCTTACGGGGAAAAAAAACACTCAAGTTTTGAGTGTCAACACTCGATTGTCCGAATTTACTCTCAAATTTGGGTGTAAATATTTAAATCTGAGTGTTCGCGCCCAAATTTGAGAGTAAATTCGGACAATCGAGTGCCAACACTTCAAAACTTGAGTGTTTTTTCCGTAAGGGAAAGATGTCTTTTAGACATGCATGTTCTCCGGGTGGTTTTTCGACGGCAACAGAGGTGAAAAATTATTAACGATCAGTGGGCTCTTTATGTTACTTCAATAAATAGTCAAGTCGCATTATTATTCGCAGTTTGTGTCAGTGATGGGAAAAGAATTGTCGATAAGACGCCCAGGTACAGATCGGTGTACAGATCGACTACTCGTCTAACCGTGAAATCATTGAAATCGGGTTCGCCGGGTTACACCGGTTTCGGAATACGGCGACAAATCGAAATAAGAGAGAGAGGGAGAAAGGATAAAAGGACACTGACGCGCCTCCTGTTTCCACGTCAAGCCAAGGTCGCGGGAGCGCGACGAATTTATCTCAAGAGACTAGAGATTACGAATGCAGCAACGAGCACGAAGACGAGATTTCGCGTCGATCCGTCTCGGCCGACTTGGACAAAAGGTATATGCGAGAGAACCGATGCGACTTATCGATAACGGGCTGTAACTTTTCGTACAAAAACTCGTTGGGAGAGAATCCCCCGTGCGAATCAAGCCCCGCGACGTTCGGTGTTCCAATTTTCCAATTGAAATCCCGTCTTCCTCGTGCGCGGAGCCTGTTTCGCCGGCGCTCACGCACCTGGCCGTTAAAGAGACGCAAAAGTGACGACACGCGGGGTACCGCAAGTTCATACTCACTCGAGTGCACGTGCCTCGGTCTGATCGGATCGTTAGGCAGGTAAAAGTCGGAAACGGCGTTGCCCTTTCGCGGTCGCAGGTTGTCACCCAGGGAGGACAGTTCCGCACGATCGGACGGACCCACTCGAGCGCGTTGACGCGAGTGACAATGTGCGCGCGGCGCGCGCGGCCCCGAGCTGCCCAAAAACACGACCACCTCCAAGCCGTAGGACCTCGAGGCGTGGTTTCCAGGTAAGTCGGATGAGCCCCGGCTGCATAGTGGGGGCGATCAGAGTGGAAGCTGGAAAATCCTCGATCGGTCCGTTCCGGCACTCGCTCGAAATCGCGTCGCCGACCGGGGGTCTCGGGCGATCGCCGGCGTGCGTGCGGGCGCACCAGCCTCGCATTCGGGCCTCGAGAGAAAAGTATCCCTGCGAGGTCCACCTGACAGGGATCCATTCGTTGCTTTCGTTCCCGAAACCCGCCCGGTCATCGATTTCTTTATATTTACTGTCAGCCTCGAGACAAGGGCGATCATAACTGGTTATTTGCCTTCCGCCTCTCGTAATGGGGTCAAGCGCAGCCCAAACACTTCTAACGGTGTGTGCTGAGAAGCGCGCGTGTCCATAGATACACGCATACGTATCTATGCCTCGTATTGTTCGGCGGCGGCGGTCAAATAACGATCGCCACGAAGTTGGTATAATTTTTGCGAATAACATGCGCGCGATAATAACAGAATCTCTCAATTGTCCCAATTAATTATGTATACGAATGCGATTAACATCGAATTAACATCGGGTTGCAAATTAGTCCGCGCGGCACAGCCTATCCGCAAGTGATTACGACGAGCACGTTCGTACGGCGCGGACAAACAATGACGAGGGGGGGGACAGACATTTAAAGGTGAACTTCTTTTCCGGGAAAGACGTCGAGTCTTGTTATACATTTGCGTGGCGCAACCAATGGAGGGAAAAGCCCGAATTTGTGCCCTTTCACTTTCACCGTGTCGCGCCACGTGGAACCGTCGGAACCTGCAGTACTATTCCTGACACGAAGCGCAACGGTATTCCTCGACGGCGACAGATATATACAGACGGACGGTTGTGCAAACAAGGACAATTTGATACCTCGCATTAATCAGCCGCTGCTTTCGCAGTCAGACCGTCGCGAGAAAGAGATCGACGTTTCTTTTTTTTTTCCCGCCTCCGGTACCTTTCACGCGCGCTGCCCAAACCGCGTACGTGGTGAATCTTTTTTTCTCTCCACGCGGTATATCGAGCAGAATATTGATATTTGTGGTGCTCAGCGCTCAGAAATAGACCGATCGTATTAAATCCCTACGACGAGGAGCGAGTACACAAGAGGAGCTCGCTCACACACACACTCTCTCTCTCTCTCTCCCCCTCCTTCTTTCTCTCTTCCTCCGGGCAGAGCGGCTGCTCGAGCAACTCGCGCCCCCACGAGACTCTCGGCTCTTTTTACCGGGCGCTATCAGCGCGTATCAGCGGACCAGTACGGCTCCATCCCTTCGGCGGAGACGACGTTGCTGAGAACTGCCCTTGTACCCGTGCTCTCGTCTCGGACGGAAATGCTCGTTAACAAGTACCATCGTGCGTTGAGTGGGTGGACCTCGCTCCGGCAGCTGCAAAACGGTATTTATACTGCCTGGCTCCTCTTGGCATAGTTGACATAATGGGCGACGAGAATCTATCCAGGAGCATGCCGCTCTATCGCGGACGCTGCGTGTGGACCGTGGGGAAAATCGATAGACTCACCACGGCTACAGCTGCTCCGCCGTCCCGCGGATCTTAAATCCCCTGTGCGGAGCAACGATTGCTAACGGCAAGACATAGACGAATAATAGCGAGAGAGGATTTTTCACACGTCGGCTGTTCCGCAGTGCAGCTCCCGGCGCATCTTCGACGAGCACTTTTGCGATTGTATCTTTCAGCAAAGAGTGCTATCGACATCTCTCAATGTCCCATCGTTATCCAGCCGTTATCTCATCCGAAATTATAAATAGCACGCAGCCGAGAAAGAATGTTTACTTTCGTCGCGACCCCGGGTGTTGCAATGTTAATTTTAAATCAGCTTTGTAGAAAACGCGGCTCTACGCTCCGATACTGCAAAGTCTTTTCTCTCGCTGGAAATCTAAAGTCTCGACGAAAAAGAAAATTTGCTAATTTTAGTAGAATTTCATTTACAATCAACATTTAACGACGAACGTTCTTTTCGACTAGAGAACGGCCTGTTGACTCGCAAATGCTGGCACGTAAAGAATGTTGGCATATGTTAATAACGAGAGCCGATGCACTTGGATTCTCTTCGGTGGTAAAGTTAATTAAATAAAAAAACAAGCGAGATACGCGCGATCCAAAGGGGGTGTACAATTCTGGAAAAATTTTAACGATCGATTCTGATGAACAAAGAAGCGGAAAGGTGAAATCTCCAGCCTACCCAGCCACGCGGAAAATAAGGAAAACAAGCACCGTCACGCTTATTGTCAACTTTGTTACTTGGCAAATTTTAACGATCGGGTTCTATCTCCTGATATTAAGTATCTCAGATATCAGACAAACGTCATAGCTATCTGAGATAGGAGAGCTCATCCAAAACATGTTATCTCAAAATCATGTTTATATATTCGCTATAATCAGTCACCGTTAAACGACAATTTTATCTTTCAATTCCGATGTCCAGAAGCCGTTGTTTTTTTTAAAGCTTCCATGCCCAGTACGGAAAACGTTGCGATCTCTGCTGTCTTTTTTTTCTTTTCATATTCTGCTTTGCGCGTCCGAAACTCAAGTGTCCCACGTCATTGCAACTCGCAATTTGCAACATAATGATTTGCGAGGGGTTCGGATACGTAAAATCGCAGTAATATATCAAGCAATCATCCTTAACTACCGTTAATAGAACTGATCGTCGCAGTTGTTGGACAATTTAGCGAGTTAAGTTGTTTTTCTGCTCGGTAAAATCCAAAAGCGCCGGATAATCGTACGCGCTCCTCTGCCAGGGAAATCTATACAATTTAAGTTGCATATAGGAGGAATACGCATATTTAAATACAAGAGTATAATGTTATCGTGCAGGCGTTACAACGTGGAAGAGATGCTTAACCGGTTCGGTGCCGAGGGAACCAGAAGGGCCGGTACTCACGACGGAAATACCGGGCCCGCGGTCGCGCAGCCTGCTGCAGGAATTGAATGCGATACAAGTACGTCAGGCGCTCTTGATTCTTTGAGTGACGTCACGGCGCCGCGATGTTGTAATTTATCAATTAAACGGCCTGCTATCTACAATGTTTTGAGCGCTTCGGCTGGCTCGGATTTCAACTCGAGCTAGCTTAACGCATAACTTTATCGTTATCGCGTAGTAACTGCTATGTGCATCATCGTTGTAACGTTTAAGATACGATTAATAATGCGAGGATCTTCTGTAAATATGCCAGAGACGAAAATGGGTTTACAATGTTGAAATCTGTGACTTCAGCAAGCGTCTTCCGTACAATTCTTCGCAGACTATGAAAAATCCGCCGGTAATTACATAATAGACGTTGACGGGAACACGTTGCTGGACGTTTATATGCAAATCTCATCAATGCCCCTAGGGTACAATCATCCGGCGATGTTGGAGGCTCTCGCCGATCCCGTTAATCAAGTGAGTGATACAAAGGCACTCCGTCGCGGAGTACCCTACTTTTTTTTTTCTCTCTCATATACGGAATTTGTATGCTAATCTCCTCTACAGGATACATCGCTTAAGTGTACGGTGTAGAGTAGTCGATAAAATTGCGATAATCCGATATTCTTGGAATACATTGCGAATCATTTTGTTTCACGGTGTCGAAGGGTATTACGCTAAAAATAGTTAAGGATGTATCGGACCTATCTTCAAAATAGTACAGAGTCGCTAAAAATTTGCGAAATTGTTCCTTTAGTCTTCCTAATGTACTGCAGAAAAGTCAAAATGCATCCACTAAACGGTTGCTGAGATATAACTATTTTAATTTACACTGATTTTACACGTACTCTTATGGAAAGAGCCGATCTTCACGGATAAAACAGCTTAAAAAATGTAGAAGAAATAGCACCAGTGTGTTGAATTTTTTTTACACATCTAGTATACGAATAGATGAAAATATCTACCAAGTTTCAATAGTCTTTACTGCACAGTTTTAAAGAAATAAAATATAACTTGAGATATTCGTGCTGTCGGCACGATATGTATTTTGAAATCACATTTGTTTACCAGCACTGTTGAAGAATGTTTTTAGTTTTGAAAATATTTGACGTTATTAAGTTGAAATCAGGGTATTTACACTATCAAAAGTTTAGGCTATTCAAGTATTTCCAATTTCGTGCACTTTTGTCCAAGATTGTACGTCCAATACATCCTTAACGATCGTGTCCTCTTTTTTTTTCCAGAAAATTATAGCGAATAGACCTGCGTTAGGTGTTTTTCCGGGAAAAGATTGGCCCAATAGATTAAGAGATGTTCTGCTGACGAAAGAGGTAACGTACATTAATTTCTCATCGTCCGCCGCTCTTCGCGCGTTATAAACGTGAATTATTGTCTCGAGCAGTTTGCACCACCCGGATTAACGCACATCACAACAATGATGTGCGGCTCTTGCTCCAACGAGAACGCATTTAAGAACATTTTTATTTGGTACGCCGAGAAACAGAGGCAAGGGACGCCGTTCACGAAGGAAGAGATGGAGTCGTGTATGATAAACGAAAATCCTGGCTCGCCGCGATACTCTATTATGTCCTTTAAGGGTCAGTCACCTGCTCGAATGGAAACGCGTTTCATTTTAATTAGGAATCTTTACGAAGCCTTTAATATCAATAGGTGGCTTTCACGGAAGAACCTTAGGTTGCCTCTCAACGACTCACAGCAAGTACATTCACAAGATGGATATACCGGCTTTTGACTGGCCTACCGCCTCCTTTCCAGAGTACAAATATCCTTTAGAAGAGAACGCGCGAGAAAACAAGGAGGAAGATAAGCGTTGCCTCGCGGAGGTATCGTCAAGTCTCCGCTCTTAAATGTCTCTTCGAGCGTTTCGCATAAGAGAAGATCTTAAGAACGTGATGTTTCAGGTCGAGGAGCTATTCGAGAAGTACAAAAACGAAAAGAAAATGCCAGTGGCTGGCGTGATAGTTGAGCCTATTCAATCGGAAGGCGGCGACAATCACGCGTCGCCGGAATTCTTTCAGGAACTTCAACGCGTGACGCGAAAGGTACGGCGTGGCTCACGAGGCAATTGTCTCGCTGCGCGTTATAAGAAAGACATGTATCGCACTCGAAATATTTCAGCACGGAGCCGCGTTACTTCTCGACGAGGTGCAAACCGGTGGCGGACCAACGGGGAAAATGTGGTGCCACGAGCACTTCAATTTAGACGCCCCACCCGACGTGATGACTTTCAGCAAGAAAATGCAATTGGGCGGCTATTATCACTCGGCGGATCTCAAGTAAATTTTCTTTTCCCACGACAAAACGATACAACGTCGTGCTTTAAGTATATTAACGTCTAATTATACCCTGCGTATCGCAGGCCGAAACTGTCATATCGTGTGTTTAACACTTGGATGGGCGATCCCAGCAAAGTGATACTGCTCGAAACGATTCTAAAGACGATCAAGAAGGAGAATCTTTTGGATAGAGTTACGCGCGTTGGCAACTACGTATTGAATCATTTGATGGATATACAAAAAGAGCATTCCAATGTAATTAACGCAGTGCGCGGCCGTGGAACTTTCATTGCGTTTAATTGCGCCTCGCCTGAAATGCGAGACAGCATCGTCAAGAAACTCGCGACGAAAGGTAAGGCGGTATCGCTATGTAATATGTGCGAGCGCTAAGAATATCTTTCACGTTTTCGTGCTTTTTGTGTTCTTGTTAGGTATCCATTCAGGAGGATGCGGCAATCAGGCCGTGCGGTTCAGGCCTGCGTTGACCTTCACAGAGCGTCACGCCGATATATTTCTGGACGCGCTTCGTTCTATTTTAAAAAAATAAGAATAATCTTGGCAATTTCCTGTGTCTTCGAAATCAGATGTCTTCCATTATAAAATGTTCGCAGAGATATACGAAGTCTATAAATAACTATTATTTTTCTATGGCAGTTATATTGTGGGGATAGTCTATGAAAAACGACGAGTTAATAACAATATAGCACGACAAACTAATCAACTTGATTGTCTTGTGTACATACATACATCGTTCGATATACGTTCGAGAAAATGTACAAAGTTATGATAGGAATGCATTCCTTGACGAATGTACAACAGAAAGATATTTTCAGTATAAATTTTCACATCGATTACTTACATATTTCGTGCTTTGAGCAAGATTTGCTATAGTTTGTAAAATATACTACGTGCTTAACAATTAATTGCTATAATTTATATTTTATTTTTCTGCTGTTGTTTGTTCATTGGCTCGACTGATATAATCAGAAATATTATTGCACAATTACAAAGTGTCTTCCAAAAGAACTGCCAATAAAAAAATGTTTGAGCCGTGTCCTGCTTGTTATCGACAAGCCCCAATATCCTTCATCTCGACATTTTCCTGAGTATTTCGGCAAAATGGTCGTATTCCTGATGATGACTCTTCTGGATCATGTAAGCCTTCGTTCTCATCTGGGAAAAAATATCCGAGATAATTAAAGATTACAGAAGCAAAACAATGTATTGTACACGTGCATTTACCGTAACTTTAGAATCCACCGAGCCATGTCGTTGCGACAAGTGCCACAAATTTACAGCCATGTTCGCTAATGCAGCGTCCCGTAAATCTGCACGAATAATGAAGCAATTAAACAATTCGAGTGCCAGGGCCGATTGTTTATCAAGTTGCTCGGTAGATCCAAGGTACTTGAGATGACTCAAGATTTCCTCGACAACCTTCGAACATATTTTATTGACTTCGCCAATAAATTTCTGATCAGATCCATACAACTTATCATTTGAGTCAACCTGAAATGCCATTATGTGATGAATCGAGTTAGTTTGCAATTAATTTACCTAATTTCCAATTGTAGATTTTGCGGTTATTGTTCCTTCAAATATGCATGAAAGTATCAAGTACCTTATCGATGTGATATGGATAATTTTCCTGTGCGACTGTTGAAAGAAGGTCGAGTACACGTAAATACAAATATGGTTTGGTCGATGTATTCTCCTCGAAGCAACGTTGAACAGCATTGAGCAAGCCTCTCATCAGATACAGGACTCCGTGCTCTGGGCTATCCTAAGAAGGTAGGAGCAATCGTAAAATCATGAAACTAAAACGTGGCGCGTGTCAGTATACTTACGGGAACTACTAGCAATGTTGACAAGAAATTCGATAAGTATGAGAGCAAGTGCGGCTGCGAGCTTTTCTGTCTTCCATCGATATCGATGGTCTTCGGCATTTCCGGAACTAAACTTAAAGCGGCCTTGAAGCAGGCATCGGCTGGAAAATGCCAGTTTACACACGTAAATTGACGAGATAAGTAACATTATATTAATATTTAAAAAAAAGAAAGTAATTCGACTCGCACCTTGGCCTAGACATTGATTCAAAAGGGCGACCTGTCCAGACAACAGATATAATTGAAGGCGTGTATGGACTAAAGTTAACGACGGTATAGTAATAAAACAGAATGCAGCACAGGCGCGTACAAATGCCGATGTTCTTCTCGTATGATGGCCGCGTACTATCTTTCTAGTATCCACCGATAATCTGTTTACGCACTGAACATAAAAAGTAATTTAATTGCCGTTAAAGTCACTCTCTCGATACATATCACAGAATTACAGAGATATATATGTATTACATGCCTGTACAAGTTGTATATGAACGCTATCAAGATTAGGAAATGCCGCCCTGGCCTCTGCGTAGAAACTAAGCTGCTTTTCAAAATCACGACCATAATCTACTCGTTGCACTAGGCCGCATATTAACTGTCCGATCTGCCGTTTCTCGTCTTCGACGGTCAGAGCACTGCATTCGGATGATTTTAGAAATCAGGCTGAACTGTGTGTAATCGCGAAATTAAAGTGACATACCTAACGGAGTCGTGCATTATTCTTGCGATAAACATCAGGGCGTTTATAATAATAGGATCCGTAATAGGTCCGCTTTGCGCACTCAATCCTTCTATAACAGTTTTACAAACTTCAACCTTCACGCTTTCCTTGTGGAACAGGTCAATTAGGGGTAGAAAATTGTCCTACAAAAAGTGTCGAATTATTTATGATAAATTGAACGTTTTAACACGATGCACTGAATACGCGGCTATATGAATGCAAGGATAGTTACTATGGCAAGCAGCGATTCGAAATCTTGCGTCTGGGCGACTATCTTCTCCACAATATTCTGCAATTGTGGATAATAATTCTCGAAAGCTTTGTTCGGTCGTAGCCGGTCTATTATTTTGCCGAAAAATAAATTTAATTCGTTCACCTGTAACACACACATATATTACAGCAATTAAGTTTAATCTAACGTGTTATTATTATCCGTACAACTTACAGAAAAGTGTATGACAGTGAACTGAATCCAGATCTCGATGCAATGCATGAATTTGCTGGGATCTGTGAGGTCCGTTATGTATTTCCATATCACGTTAAGCACCGACTGACAGTCCTCTTTCGGCGGAGATTCTCGCACAAGACATTCTCCCAAACTTCGATACAAGAGATATTGAGGATATCCTATCGAGGCAAAAAAAAAGTAACCCGTCAACATCTCTAAATTAAAGACACGCGTATTCCTTAATTATTAAATCTCAATACCATCGTCTTCGCTCGCCACAATTAAATTGACAAAGTCCATGGCACGCGCAGCAATGTACGTCGGTTTAAATGCAGTCAGCACTGTATTTAACAATAACGATCTGAAAACACGCACGTGTGAATTAGGTGACAAACGGGAGTTTGGGGGGAAAGAAAGGGTACAGATTGAAAATACGTTTTACCCGTTCTCTTGTTTTTTACATCGAGATAGAACCTCTTCGAGAAGGCTCTCGGGCGATGTCGCCACCAAAACCTGTACGATCCAATCCAGAGCTGGCGAATATAGATTGAGATACGAATGCAGGGTGACGTTTTGCCTCACTATTTCGTTTTTCACAGCAGTCCCAAATAGCTGCTGATATGTAAAAAGAAAGTCGTAAAGGTTCTCCCTGACAAACTCAAAGTCCGACGTTTTGTTCAACGCCAGTCCCACGCGGCATAAATAACATCTCGCGTAAACGGCTATCAACGGATTTCCGATACCTCTTATCATACGCGTTATACGTAGCAAAGCAGTATTGAATTCGCTAAAATGAAAATATTATTTTAATACTTAAACTCTCACGTTATTGCGATATTACGAATATTTGTTACGAAAATCTTACCTCGTCGTTAGAAAGCTGTATGATTTTATTATCGCCATTTCTACATACAAGCGCGGTACCAGCTCGCGTATAGAAGCTATCTTGTAGAACCAATTCCGACAAGTTTCCTTCGCATTCTCCGGAACCATATCGGGTGTAAAATTATCGGGCAGGCTCGTAGGTACTTTACTGCCTGGTCTACGAGAGAAGTGTTGCTATTAGCAACTGTAAATAATACTCGCAACTGCGCGACAATTAGAAACATATACAATACATGCGGCTAAAAAGATCTCTTTGTGTAAAAATTACTTGTAATACTCAGCCTTCATTTTCAATCTCTCGTATACAAGTTTGCCAAAGATATCCAAGATGTCTGTGATGAGAACAAACTTGCTCGGATAAAAAGCCATTACGGACGTATCTACCAACAATTTGGCACACTGAAATGATCTTGCGTTAATTTATAAATCGCAAGTTTTTCGCCCCTAAGCTCTCTCTCTCTTGTAGCAGATAAACGAAACCTGTATTGCAATTTTGAGCGCCTTCACTCTTTGGTCGGAATGCCACGCCTGCACTAGTTCGTTGTTTAACTGCTCGATTCGCGCGGTGTACTGTTGCTGCGACAAGTCCAACATTTGCCTGACGGAGCCCTCCTCGAAGTCGTCCAACTGTTCGAGTCGCGTTTTCACCTTGTCGACCATCGGCCCGCTTGGCTGAACTTTCACCACGACTGTGACAAAGCGACATTGCGACAATTTAGAAAGCTATTTACGAGCAACTTAAAATTGACTGCACTTGGAGCAAACATTTAAAGTTAAACTTTTGTAAAAGAAGCAAGTACCTTTCTCTCCACCTGGTAAGAAACTGGTGACGATCGACAGCTTTTCGGAAGTTGTATATTTGCTCAGTATAGCGGAGCGTCTAACGGACCATGGCTCTACCAGTTCCTCCGCCGTGTCTTTCGACTTTTTACCCACGGGCGCGACGTTAGAATAATCCCACTGTGACACAGGTGATAAGTACACACCGCAAGAGGCCTAAAAGCACTAAGAATGCCATGAGTATTACCTCGTCCGCAGCCATCTTCGAGAGAGGATCCAACTCTTCTCGAGCAAACTGCGTAAGGGGGTCGGAGCCGTCCAGGGAAGGGTGACTTAGCAACGGGTCGCTCAGCGGATTCGCAGGCACTGGCGTGTGCGTCGGTGTGGGTGTTCCGGTGGAGGAACCGGTGCTCGTACTTCGTAACGCGCTGCGTCTGGCCGCGCTGCGTCCATCGATTAGCTGTATGGGGCGAAACTTGTATGAAAATTTGCCTGTACATGGTAAGTAGAGATTGAAACGAGGGGGAAACCGCTGACCAAGATCTTGTACACCAATGCCCACCGGGCATTATTTTATCTCGTTATCTGATTTTATATTATTTACCCGGCGTTATCTTATTTCATCTTATTTTATCTTTACAACGCCCCAGCGAGATCTAATGCCGCAAATCTGTGCGCCACAATGCCCTCAGCGGTTTCCACCTCGGATCGAAACATTGGCGGCAACGAGGCTGCTCTTACAGTGACGACAACTGGCTTCAACGGATGATCCACAGCTTCCTCCAGGCACGCGAACTTGACAGCCCCATATTCCATGGGCCGCGATATCCTGCAAACAAGGTTTACCGTACGATCTCTCTCACGTTGGAGCACTTAAAACTTTTGTTATGTATTGCAGCAATGCTGTCGCGGGCGCTCGAGCGGAGCTGCAGACTCTCTCTCACCACTCTATCTCCGTCATGTCTCAGGCGCGCCGTACTTTCCCCGAGTCGCAGGTAGAAGCGTGATCAGGGTGTCAGATCATCGCCGAGGCGGACGGCGGACGGAAAAAAACCGCAACCGCGTGAAACGTCAGCCGATCCTCGCGCGCGCGGAGCGCTCGCTCTCCCGCAAGTCCCGCACGGCGCGCACCGCGTGACTCGTCCGCCGCGCTTATTGGCCGCCGCCCCGGGCTCCTAGAGATCTTCCAGATTCGGCGAACGCGCGCCGCGAATTTCCCGGCGCGCGTCGGCGTCTCCGATCTCTCCGATGCACCCGCCACGCACAATCTCGCGGCGCCGACACACGCGCCGTCCCCGATTCCCGACAATCCCGACACTACTCCGAGACGCGGCGCGCGGCCCGCCGCGCCGTTCTCTCCCCAGTTGTCGCCGCGCGCGCACACTGGCGCACACCGCCGCTCGCCCTCGCACGTTGCGCGCGAGTCCCGGGGGATTTCTGCGGGAATTCGGGACCCACCCGGCCATGGACGACGTTCTCGAGAGCTGGGAGCAGATAGAGGAGTCCGGCGTAAGGCGCAACCCCGCGGAACTTGGGCCCCCGAGTCCAGCGCGGGCGGTCTCGCGTTGACCCATAACCTCCCACGCGCCCCGACGTTGCCCCGCGACGGCTGCGGGAGGCAACCCGCTCCGCGGCCCCTCGTCGCCTCGCGCGTTCCCTCGCGCCCGAACACCACCCGAACGGCACGCGCCCCGCGCTCCACGTCGCTCGCGCACACGCGATCCTCGATTGATAGATCGATATACTCGTGGTACCTTGGCGCTACCATAAGGCCCGCGCGGAAACGCTCCTCCTCCCGACCCGCGACAGCCCGATCTCGTCTCTGCAAGTCCGCTTACGGAGGGATGTTAAAATTACGATGGGTTTTTAGGCACTTGACAAAAGACTGGAGGCCCTGAGGCTGAACACGGTAGAGGAAGAGCTAGAATCGTCCAGGTAGGTTGAGGCGAGCCGTTTCCGGGGCTCTTCTGCCCCGTTTCGCGGCTCCCCGAGTCACTGGACAATGTACGGTATCATAAGTTGAACGACTTTTTGGACGTAGGACCAGCCACGACACAGGCACGAGGATGATCATACTAGGGGAAGACGGCCTCAGGTCCCAGTACGTACCTCCCAAGCCCATGGTGAAGATCTTAAAGAGACCGACCGGAGACTCGCGCGGCAGCGGCGACGGCCCGCTCAACGACGACAAACCTAAGCAGCCCATCAAATCGCTCAAGCAGGTAACGACGCGCCTCGTTTCGCCTCGCCTTGGACTAACGCGTGACGTTGGACGTGACGTAATTGGTTTCAGCGGGAGCAGGAGTACGCGGAGGCGCGCAAGAGGATCCTGGGCGAGGAGAAGAGCCCGGAGGAGAAGACCGCGCAGGAGATCAACAGAATTCAGGCAAAGTCGGGCGCGCCGAACGGCAACAACGTCCCCAGCAACGTCGTGCGCATGCCCGCCGGCCCGGACGGCACCCGGGGCTTCAACGTACGCAGGTAGCGCGTCTTCCGCTCGTACGTTTCCACCTATCTTCCTCCCCGCCTTCCCGCTCGCTGCCACGGGGAAGGCGGACGGCTATGAGGCCGGTGACACACGGGAATAGCCTCGCGCTCCCGGACCAGCGCGAACGGGACGTCCCCGGAGCTGCGTTCCGCGACTCGTCATCACGCCGTGGACTCAGCCTGGCGAGGGTCCGAGAGAGAACGGACTTGGACCGTGCGAAAACGAAATGCCAATGTCACTGCGTGCAGTTGGTGCTCTCTCTCTCTCTCTCTTTCTCGCACACGCACATACACACATATACAGGGTGTCCTGAAATTCGCGAATCAAAATACCATAGCAAGAAAGTCGTCGAAAAAATAAATTAAAAAGTTATTTGCCATTTTTCGTTCCGAGCAGTAGTTTTTTTAGATAAAAAGGTTGAAAACAGGCCTATCATACATTACGGTTGAACGGAAACTTGTCGCGCGTCGATAGTGTTAGTGCATTAACACTATCGACGCGCGACTCACGGACAAGTTTCCGTTCAACCGTAATGTATGATTGGCCTGTTTTGAACCTTTTTATCTAAAAAAAACTACTGCTCGGAACGAAAAATGGTAAATAACTTTTTAATTTATTTTTTCGACGACTTTCTTGCTATGATATTTTGATTCGCGAATTTCAGGACACCCTGTATATACACACATACACGAACAGACCGGAGGAGAGACAGGTGTGTGCGACAGAAGTATAATTATGTTTACTGTACGAGTGTGTATTTGCGTGTACGCGAATGCAGAGATATAATTATTTTTCTGTCGCGCACGCTGTAAAACGACTTAGACAATTGCGAGGTAGTTGATGCAATAGGACGGAGGCGTGGATTTGTTACGAACCGAAAACGAATCGCATCAGTTTGTGAAGTTGTATAGTAAGCGGAAGTATCTACTAATGGATTGTGTAATAAGTACTCTTGGACAGTGTAATAAGAGAACTCCCTGTATATATACACATATATTATACATATGTACAATTATACGCGATATAATGTGATTCGTTTTGTTATTAAATCAAAGATACTTTTAACGCAGGTGCATTTTCATTCGTTTCCGCGGCGACGCCGCGCAAACGTAGGTGTACGCAGACGCGAAAGGAAGGCAGCTCCTTGGTACAGTTCAATTGTGCATGCGGTTAATTGATTAAATTGGAAGAGCCACAGGCCTTGTTGTTTCACCAGTGTCGCTTCAATCTCATTGTCGGTTTAAGTCATCGTTTGCGAGAGAACAGCTGGGAGGAAAAGAGGGACGAGTCGAACGACGTTGGTGAAGCTTTATTCAAGTTCGCGCAAGCTTATGAAACGCGTGTTTCGATTATCATTTGAAATTGTCGCGCCGGCACACGTTGATTTCACGCCCGTTCGCGTCGGACGCACCGGGCTGCTCTCTCTCTCTCTCGAATCGACGATTGTGGCTCACGACTGTATAGACAACGGCGGATATAATTATCTTGAGGCGAGCGAGGAGCTCGCCGATCTCTCCCGCGAGTGTATCGGAAGCGAATTCACGCCGCTGGGCGGTAGGCGTTCGAGGCGTTCGAGGCGTTCGAACGTGATACTCGCGATAACGCTCCACGCGCGCAGTGCATACGTGTGCGCGCGCGCGCACGCACGCTCCACACACGTGCGGGTACGTCGTGGCGCATGTCAAGTCGCGCGTCCGCCGCTATCGGCTCGTCTGCCCCCGTGAGCACGGGACGCTTCTCGCGATCTACGAAATGCCGATCCGTCGGCCGCGGAAGTAGGCGCCCCGGGTGCGACAGCAGCGTGCGCCGCGTCATCGCCGTGCATCGGAGCCGCGAGAGGATGGCGGAGTCGAGCGGGCCGATTCTTCACGTCATCGTCGTCGGGTTCCACCACAAGAAGGGCTGCCAGGTAAGAGTTGACAGGCCGCGATTAACCTGCCTCCTCGTTCAGACCTGGGGGGGTCGATTCTGTGCCCTGCAGTACAGCGACGACGCTGAGGGCGAGCGGCTTTTTGTCCCTTTCCAAGGGGACAAAGAGACAAGGCTACTCGCTCTTGGCATTTTCACTCACGGTGTAAGATACAGAATTGAGCCCCTGGTCCACGATGCGTGGAGCAGGAGCTGGGAGATGAATCAAATCTCATTTCCTGCTTCTGCCTCGGCTCTCGCGGTTGCATCGGACACGTCATCGGCGATCAGCGTTACGGGTGTAGTTTAAAGATTATTCGTCGTCTACGGTGAGTAAGGGGCAAGAGAGAACCATAACCTTCAGCCTTTGACGCGAGGAAGCTCAAACGCAGGCTCTCATCTTTGAAATACTTGTGTAACACTTGGCCGATGGCGTCCCGATCCGCCGAGAGTAAGAGCTCGAGTAGGAGTAAGGAATAAAATTGATTAATTTCCTCGCTCCTGCTCCTTGCTTCAGGCTTACATGTATTGTAGACGACGCAGTAGACGGTAAGGCAAGGCAGAGAAAAACGTGAGTCGTGACGGACTATTGTATACGCTAAGACAGTCTTAAGGCTGGTCTACAATACATGGAGTAAGCTGGAGTAAGGAAATAAATCCATTTTATTTCTTACTTCTACTTCGGCTCTTAGGCTTGCTCTCGGTGAATCAAAACGCCATCAATCAGTGTTACAAATATTTCAAAAGTTATGCCCAAATTGTTTTAGCTTCCTTACACCAAAAGCTAGAAGTTAGGGCTCTCCCTTACTCCACGCTTACTCCACGTATTGTAGACCAGCGCTTAGGCGTTTACGGATCGTTCTCTGCCGCCAGCCTCACTTGAGCCTTCACGCGGGTCCGATCCAATTGCCCGCTAACCGCGAATGTCATCTTCCAGGTAGAATACTCGTTTCCACCCCTGGTGCCTGGCGCACCTAACGAGTGTCCGCTGGGATGGAAGTACCTGCCCACACTCGCTCTGCCCGACGGCTCCCACAACTACGACGAGGACACGGTCTATTTTCACCTGCCCAGTCTCAACGATCCGAAACGCACGATATACGGCATCTCGTGTTTCCGCCAGATACCCGTGGAGGTACGCGAGAGTATATTTACAGTTGACACACGCGCAGCCTTTTTCAATCTCGGGACGAACGCCGTTACGCTGTGTTTTGCGCAGAAACTGAAGAACCGCACGTCGGACATAACGAGGGGCACCGTTCAAAAGTCCGTCTGCGTGCTGAGCACTCTGCCCCTCTACGGACACATCCAGGTGAAAATGGCCCTGATAACGCACGCGTACTTCGAGGAGGGGGATTTCAGCAAGGTGTCCTTGCTGGAGGACACCTATCATCACCTTAACTCGTGTATGAGCGGCGAGAGCCAGATACCGCCGCAAATCTTTGTTGGTAATTATCCGCCGGGGGATATTTGTTCAATGGAACCTAATGTCCGCGTTGATACATGAATTGTTGACAGGTTTGTCCGCGAGAGACTTTATATTGCAATTCCGCCACAAGGTGTTGCTCTTATTTAAATTGCTCCTGCTCGAGAAGAGGATAGTCTTTTATCAATCGCCCGTGCAGCCGCTGTGCGCCACGATATTGACTCTACTGTCGCTGTACCCGGACATGATTGAACACGGTCTCCAGCAGGCGGCTTGCGTGAGGTACTGTGGAGAGATACTTTGATAGATTTGTGGGGGTTGTCAGCGGCGACGAGTCTGCTAACCAAGTCCTTGTTCTCTCCAGACCGTCCAGGCCGATGTCGCCGATCCCGACCTTCGACGAGGAGGAGATCTCGACGAATAACGTCGACGACTCCAACTTGTCGTCCGACCGCATCGTCAAGGAAAACATGTCGAACGCGGGCCACGAGCAGTGCAACGATAACAGCAATAGGAACTCCCTGTGTATTAATGACAACAAAACCATGGAGTCGATGGAGGGTAAATGCTTGGACGGGCTGCAGCATGTCGCCCTGCAGAAGAACAACAACGACAACGAGAATCTAAATATGAAGGTGATCGAGATAGAATCGGCGCAGGAGTGCACCGAGTCTTACCTGGAGGAGAGCGACTCCAAATACTCGCCGAAGCCGAACGATAACGTGCACAGGGTACACAGCGTGAACGCCATCACGTTGAACACCGGCGACACGGATAATAGTTTACCCCGCGACACGAGCAGCGACGCGCTCTCCGACGCGAGATTAACGAATAACATTACGCAAATCGCGCACATTAATCCGGAGCTGTGCGGCCTACCTTTGGAGTTATTTACGAAGGTAACGACACCCGATGCTCCGCACTTGTCATAGATGTGTATCATTTCGGAGGGCAGTTTGCACATTATAGAGATATGTGTTCCAGGGATACCTCTGCTTACCTTACTTGTCTTTGCCCTACTTGGATCTCTTGGGGGACATTAATGTCAGAGGCTACATAGTTGGCGCCACAAACGTGCTGTTCAAACAAAAGAAGCAGCTGATCGACGTGCTGATCGAGGTAAGCTTGAGCGATATACATTTGAGTGGGAGCGAAGTAAAAACGGTTTGACTCATGATCGCACGCTACAATTTACGAAAGATTGAAAACACGAGGATAGAGGCGACCGATCCCGAGCTGAGGCGGCAGCTGCATCTCACCACCGAGGACCTGAGATTCGCCGATTACGTGGTGAGGCACGTGGCCGAACCTCGGAAGGACATCTTCCTGGACGGGGTGGGGTGGGAGGGCGGCGACGAATGGATCAGGACGCAGTTCCGGGTGTACCTGTTGAGCATGCTGCGCACGTCCATGCAGCAGGACACCCGCCAGTCGGATCACTACAACGCGGCGTTCATGTCCGCGTGGCGCGCCACGAATAATTACAAGGCGTGGTGCGGCGCGAACAAACCGGAGATACTCAACATCGAGCCCGGCCATCCCTTTGCTGGTCAACTGTCGGTGCAAGATATGAAACTGCGCTTGTCACAGTGAGTACAAATCTCGTGTAAAATTTATACAGTGCAGGGAACAACAAAAAATAGGCTGATTCACTTCGTTGCTTTTTATGTTTCACTTTGTCTGATCAGCGCTTCAGAAGATATAAACATTTGCTGTTTCAGCACGATGCAAAATACGGAAAGCGGCAGAAAGTTGAATCAAGCGATGGCATCGACTGGGCGCGCGGTGGCCACCACTGGGAAAGCCGTGGGTAAGGCTGCATAATTTTTCCATTTAAATGTAAGCCGGACAGGGAAAGCATTTTAAGTGTATTGTCAGTTTCTAAGTACAAGTACAATTCTTTCACACTTAAAACTGCATGTCAATATTTATTTTTAAAAGTAATATACGTGTTACGTTTCTTCGTACTTATCACATTTTATATTTACACGCGATATTAAATCTAATTATTATATTTAAAAAAAAGTCACAACCGAGATCATTAAATCAGACGTCCAGCTTAATTTCGCTTAACACCCAATGCATTCAGAATCGTCCATAGAAATATTATTCTTGGCACTAACAATTTACAAGGGGGAGCGCTGTCGCAAGCGAAAGGGGCATTCTCGAACTGGTGGAGCACGCTGACGACAGTACAGCCGGTCGACGAGGCAAAGATTGACAATCAGACGACAAACAACCATCACGCAGTGTCCAGCGTCGCGGACAAGGAGCCCGTCGAAGACGAGGAGATGACCATCTCCGCAGTCCACAACGCGGATCTTACTGTAGATCTTGACTAATACCGAAAACATACGAGAAGCGAAAAAACGAATCGCGAGTGCGAAAATACGAAGCTAAAAATACGAGATATCGGACATTGGTGCGGAACGTAATACAAAGGTACGTAAAACTCTACGGGGATTCCTTGCGAGGCCCCGTGTACGGCGCGCTTGTTAAACGGCCGAATTGTTTTTACAGCGTTTCAGTTTTAGCGAGGCAGGTTTACGAAGTGAATCCGCGCACGACAGACTGTGTTAGCGCGACGCGCAGTTTCGTAGGATTTTTTAGGCTGTCCGGCAGGGATGCCGGGACTTAGGTCGATATGTTATTGATTTGAGAGTACAAGTTTTTCGTAAGTTCCGAATATTCGTCGAATATACTGTACGTATCATTTCTCCGCTTTGTAAACTGTACGGTATAATTTTGTATATCTTTTTAGTTGCAAAGAAAAGACACGTGACCGCCGCCAGCGGTCTTCTATTCAACTTTTTCAATGTTGCATGCAATTGAGCGGCACTCTATAAGAAATGTCAATCAATTTTAGACCCTAAGTAATAGAGAAAGCATTTTTTTTCAGTCGCAAATCTCAACTATTCTATATAGCTAAGGGCTATACTACATTTACACATATATACTACGTACAATGACATTATTGTTTCGTTTATATAGAGATATTCTCGCTTAAGAAGTACCTGTATCCTTTGTATATAAAAACAAAATAGTGCGGCATATTTATACGCGCATGTTTACATCGCGATCGCTTTTCGCGCGTTATCACTGCGAGATCTTGGTCACATTTACCGCTCGAATCGGAAGAATACATTCGCCCTTAGAGGTATACAAGTATAATAAAAGAAACGCGAGAAGAGCCGGCATGCCCGACATATCGCACGCTATCGATCGTAGCGAATTTCTATCCGCGGGGTTTCAGTATACTTTCTATTGTCGCGAGCACATAGCGGATTACGTGTAGAGGATGCGCGCGGGAAGTTCGGGAACTGGGACAGCCGATATCCGACAAGACGTAAACATTGTACATTGTTCCATAATTCATTTCACTAAGGCTAATCCTGTTATTGACAATATTGCTACCTCCATTTATTGTCGAGATTACACCGTACGATTAGTTCCGTGTATAACGCCGACGGTCCCTCGTGTAATTCGACAGATCGGCGACGCAGGATCTAAATCGGGACGCAGTAGTTGTTAAGCTGACTGTATCCTCGTAACCGTCGGGATAAATTGTTAGTTTTATCGCCAAGATCGCGGACGGATCATTCGTGGAACGAAGAGCTTGCCGTTTAATCGTAGCGGAGTTACGATTCAATTAAGCTTAGAGCCACACGTGTAGATTATTTGTAGTGCTACTAGCGTAGTCATTACGGCAACATACGTATATCCCGATTAAGGCAAGGTTTTTCTTCGCCGCAATATTCGTAGAGTTAAACGCGAAAAGCAAACGTCTCGTAGTGGTGTTTTATTAATTTACGATTTCCTATAGCGAGCTTAATGGTACTTAATCCCTATTTTTACACCATTTTTGCGTTGACCAAGTGAATCTCAAACTCGGCCACATTTGGCGCCAGGTATCGATTTTCTTTTCTTTTTTTTCTTACAATTGTAAGATCGATCGGTTGAATTTCTTAAGCCGTTATTCAAGGCGACGCGTGGCAGTTATGCGAGCTGTTTATCTCGAAGGCGTTCGAGAATATATTTAATCTCAAATAACAAATTGTACATCTCACTTAAATCTCTACTCGCACACGCAGCCACTGTTTTCGGGATAAAACGGTTCGCACGCCAGTTTTAGTTTAAGGTATCGTAGGCGCATCTTTGTGATATTTAGTTTGTCATAGTCCACTCGCGAGTTAAGTTCTCCGAGGAGAATCTCTCTCGGTGCTTTAGGGCACGCCTTTATTTATATAAGTAAAGTGTGCCAAATGTGGAGCGTGTACGTTCTTAGGAGTATCGAATGTGTACGGGCGAGACGTATCTTGCAAACGGCGCGATGCAAATTCGGGCGAGAAAGGCTGTTAATGAACGGACTCGACGGAGCATTTTATGGTTTTATTAAACGTTCGATAAAATTATCGTTTTCGATACACGACGGTTTTCTTTCGTCCGATCCCTCGCCACTGAAGAAAAACCGCGTGGATTTAGATTTACGCGAATGAATCTTGCTCGCGCTGTCCTAAAGATTGTTACATAGAAACGGTAAACGTATAGACACTTTTATGTAAAGTTGTTTTTTTTTATTTGAAGTCGTATTTAACACGTGTACATACAATTTATTTATTGCAATTTCCCAGCGGCGTCTCTTTTTCGCGGGACTACATCTTCAAGTCTGATCTACAGTGCGCTCTTTGCGTCTAGAGACGTTCTAAAACGCTTTGTCAACAATGTACGATTGTACCTAAAACAAATGTGTAATTTATTTATCGGCTACGAAACAGAATGCTTCTAGACGCGAAGAGTAGATCAGGTTTAAATAGCCGTTAAGATTTTCCCCTTGCGATCGAATTACGAACGCGCTCTCTGTACGAAGAGAAGACGAATTCTAGTTGATCGAGACGAAAAGGGAGAGAGAAAAAAAACCCAGAATAACACGTACGAATTGGACGATCCCTTCGCACAGCTTTACACGTTACATTATCGCGGGCGAGAAGTTATTTAAGACCCACCCTCTCCCGCCCACGTTGGATATAACTGAATATGTTTTCTATATTTATAAAACGCGAGTTTGTACAGCTTACGAGAAATGTAAGAGGGACGGAGAGCGTCGCGGAACCCGAGAGACGACTAATTCCACTGTATTGTATTCCTATGTAGCACCCACCATTCAAAGTATTAAGAGGAAATAATACATCTGATTCTGAATGTGTTCTCAGGTGGTTCTTTTTTGCACGGCGGACCGCCGTTAATCTAACGCCAGACCCTCGTCGGGGCGCGCGCGGATTTTGTCCAATTGCCGAGAGTCGCGTCTGCGGCCGCTTTAGGGAGCAGACGACATTTTTGGTGCGCGTGCTTTCCAGTTAGAATTTAATTCAAACTCAATTGGCACTCTTCGACTCGGGAGGAGAGTCGCAGAGAAGTATACTCGACTGTGATTGGTCAATTTCTCAGGGCTTAAATATCTCGCAGTGTAGCGAAGATGCTAAAAATGAGCGGCTTTATCTCTCTCCAAGGGGAACGGAAGGAGACGAAGCTACTCACCTTTTACAGTGTAAGATACAGAATTGACCTCCTATTCCCGGATATAGCGCAAGACACTCCTATAAACATTTTAGGAGTAATAATAAACTTTCAAGTAAGACCCCTAACTAAAATTAAACAACGTATGAGAAAACGCCAATGTGGGTCGCAAGGCGAGATGTAGGTAGCCCAACTTGTAAAACTTATATCTTTTTTAATGTGAATTTATATACCGTTTCCTTCCACATTTGTTTCTGCGCGCCGATTTCTTTTCCTCCGGACGTAACGCAGTTTTCTTACAAGTGGAATTATTATCGTCAGCAAATTCGCATATTTAAATCGATAAACGATTTTTTTTGTAATTTAAAATGCTTCATTTTAGCATTTTTCTGATGCTACTTTCAGCATTCAATACCCCCCCCCCCTTCCCCGTGCTGTAAATTATTCTTATTGCGAAAAATATTTCCTCAGCCAGGAATTTTAAGAATATTTGGAATATTTTATGGGTCATTCTTATACATTTATCGTATGTTCGTGGAACATTCGGTTGGCGCTGCTATAAATCTTTTTTTCAGATGAATAGAACAATATATCGAGTGTAGCGCGTCGGTTATATGTATAGTATGATCGCAGGTTTCACCGCCTTTTGCACAAGATAAGTGTATTACACAATAGACAATGTGCAATACATAAACTCGACGAATATCCAAAAGCGTTCTTTTTTTGTTATAAATTTACGATTTCCACTTTTGCAGCGATCCGTATATATTTATAGAATATTCGATTGGGATATTCTGAGATTAGGAATATTTGCGCTCCAGAAGAATATTCATAGAATAATGTGTGCTATCTGGGATCGCAGTCCCGGCTGCTTCAGGGAACAATCGGCATTTTTGGCGACACGTCGCTTTCCACTTGGAGTTTACTCGAAAAAAACTCGATCGACGCACTAAAGTTCGACAGAGTCTTTCCTCCAGGTGTCCTCTCGTTGAATCTCTTGGCCGCTCCGTGGCAAACTGCGTTAACGCGCGTACGCGTGTCTCCCAAGAGGAAAACAGCCGATGTTCGCGCGCGTTCGTCGGCGCGACCGGTGTGAACGCGCCCTCAAGAGTCGCGCCGCTCGACGGGAGGGGACGGGGCGGCGCGGCGCGGCGGCGGCGGCGGCGGTGGCGGGCTAGTAGGGAAACGAAAGCGAGAACCGGGGATGATCTCGCCGCGAGCCGTGACTGGTCGGCCGATGCGCCGCCGAATAAACATCGTAGCTCACCGATAATAGCCGAAGCGCCGTAAGGTGCCGCTCGGCTTGCGGGAGCGAGACAGAGGAGAGGCCGTGCGAACGCCATGGTGTGTGATTGGCAACGTCACTGTCGTCGCCGTCGTTGCCGTCGCCGCCGCCGCCGCCGTCGCTGTTAAATCCCGCGTCCGTGAGTGAACGAGCGAGAAACGCGCCCGGGCGGGCCCGCCGTTAACCTCGGGCCGTCGCGCTTACGTTACGGCCGTGCGCGCGCGCGCGTGAATCGGCGGATTACGAGCGTGAGATCGCGGCCGCGGAATCCCCCTGGTCGGGCGGGCGCGCGAGCAAGCACGGGGGGAGAAAAAGGAAGCATATATGTAAAAGCGCGCGGGCGAGGGACGCGGCGTCGCGTCGCCCTTTTTAAAAGACCCGTGTTGTGTCCGCCGCCGCCGCCGCCGCTGCTCCGTTCCGCCTCGCGCCGCGCCGTGACGCGCGGTGAAGTGCAGTGTGTACACGTACGAGGCCGCGTGCGCGCGCGCGCTCGCCCGCGCGTGCTACTACGCGGTGCGCGCGCGCGTGTGTGTGTGCGTGTGTCGCGAGAGTGCCCCCGTGTTTGCGCTTCTGTGTATCGAGAAGAGAGTGCGTTACGGTTCCTGCCGAGGTGAGCTTTTTAGTACGAATACTGTCGGGCCAGCGAGCGAGAGTGCGGCCGACGGTGCGCGCGCGTTACCGGCGTCTAGGATTTCGCCCGTGTCATCGTTCCTTGTGTCGTCGTCGCCGCCGACGTTGTTGTTGTCGTCGTCGTCGCCGTCGCCGTCGTCGTCGTCGTCACCGTGTTCGTGCCCGTGCTCCCGTGTCGTGCCGTCGTCGACGGCTGCGGTGTGATCGCCGTGCACGTCCCCGCGTCCCGCGAGTGTCGCAGCTAACGACCCGGTGCATCGTGACCGCGCGCGGCGAGCCGCGCGGCCTCCCCGGGTGGCTCGCGGTGGCCCCCCCCCCCGGTCGCAAAAGAGTGCGCTATGCGAGAGAGGGATAAATCGGTGACTGGCAGGCGGCGGCCATCTTCCAGATGAGTTTTTCCTCCTTTCTTCCGATAAACGAGGCGCGCTATGCCGTGAGGGAGAAGGACGGCGAAGGCGAGAGATCGTAAGAGAGACTGATTGACAGACGGACAGAGAGAGAGAGAGAGAGAGAAAGAGAAAAAGAAAGAGAGAGAGAGAGAGAGAGAGACGGAGGAGGAAGGTGTCGAGAGGGAAGGAAATTGTCTCCGCGTCTATCATATGCGACGGGAGATGCGGTGAACGGCGCGTGCTGCTCGGCGGAGTCACGAAATTTCACGAGCGCGTGTCGCCGCGACACCAGCCTTCGCTCGTGAGCGCGCGAGCGAGAGAGAGAGACAGGAACGTATTAGGAAGTGCGCCGCTTGCCACGCGTGTACGAGAGAGTTAGAGAGAGAAAGAGAGAGAGGCGAAGGTACGGCAGAGCGAACCAGAGCGGAAGACGGAGAAAAAGACATACCGCGCGCGCGGGGGAAGAAAACGGAAGCGGCGCGGAGTGAAAAGAACAGGGGGAGGCCTGACCCCCTATCGCCGCGCGTTTCCCTCGTAATCGCCGCGTCCTCGCGAGAGCCGGCGCGCAGGAGGAGAGGAGGAAAGGAGTACGCGAGAGGAATCGGAGGGAAAAAAAGAAACGAAAGAAACAAGTGAGTCGCGCGCGCGTCGTCGGAACGTGCGTCGCCGCCGGGACCGTCGTCTCTCGCGCCTCGCCGCGATCTCGAGGAGTTGCGTCGCGTCGTGGAGCGGTGAATCGATTACTCGCCGTGTGTAACCTCCAAGTCTCCGGCTGGACGTCGCGAGGAGAGACTGGGAGGCGGCCGGGGGTGGGGGAGGGACGAGGGAGGAAGAGAGGAAAGCAAGCAGGCAGGCCTCGCGACGACCCGAGCCATCGCCTTGTCGTCGTCGTCGCCGCCGTTGTTGTCGCCTCGCCTCGCCTCGTCCCGTCCCGTCCCGTCCCGTTCCGTCTCGCCCGTCCCGTCCCGTCCCGTCCTCCCGTCCCCATCCCGTCTCGTTTCGTTTCGTCTCGCCTCACCTCGTCTCACGTTCGGCTTCTCTCGCGCGTCTACCACGCAAACTGAGCCGTTTTTCGAGAGCGGGTTGATGCCCGTCGGGGACACCGAGCGCGGAGCCAATCGCGGCCGATAATACCCGCTCGTGCCGCGGACCCCGAATCGCGGGACGGATCGCGGGCACGGGTTCGCCAAGATCGGATCGATCGGCGGGATTAAACGGGGTACCCGGTCGCGCCGGCCGTGTCTCGATCAATTCGCTCGCTCTCTTCTCTTTGGCCAAAGCCGGCGCCTACGCGGTCGGTATTGTTGCGCTGTAATTTTGTCGACGCCGATATCGGGGCCAACGAGGGGCCGGGACGCGACGGACCGTGGGAGAATAAGACGCGGATCCTGCGCGATTCGCGCGAAAAGAGAAAAAAAAATCACCGCGGGACGGTCCCGCGATTGTGTACGGTCGATGCCGTCCGTCACCTCGCCCAACGATCCCTCCGTACGACGTCAACTGCAACACCGCAGCACGAGATTCTCAAGGTGGAGAAAAGGAAGTTTGTTTATCGGCGATCAACGCCATCTTTAAGATTACGAATGGGGGGGACTCTCCGTCCGATCTCGGCGACTCTTCGTTCCATTCTCACGTAGTGAGAACCCGCTGCGGAACGTCGTACCTCTGGAAACTATGTGGCGAGAGAGCGAAAGATCTCCCCCGCGGAATTGCGCTCCTTGTACATCCCTGCATCGCGTCCCGGCACGCGATAGAAATTCGTTCGAATCGATCAAACGCGATATCGCGTGCCGCCGCGATCCGCCGCGTGGTTCGGGCTTAAAAGCCCGAGCGGTGGCCCTCGAAAATACCGGCGCCCTTGGTTTACATCGGCACATAACCTCGTCTCGCCGGGACTCCCTCCTTAGGATACGCTCGGATACGCGGCGAATCGGGCGTCGTCTCTTCCAGATGCCGTCACCTTTATCTCTCTCAGGCCCGTTTCTTCCAGTGCAGATTAATTTTAACCCCTGTTTAACTAAGGTTTTATCCTTTTCCAATTCCTGAAACTGGAAAAGGATAAGAAGTAAGTTAAACCGGGATCAGAGTTCACCTGCATTGGATAGAAATGATCATTAGGCCCGGTTTCATCAAGCGTCGCTTAACTTTAATCTTGGTTTAATTGACGTTTGCCTCTTTCTAAAGTAACAGTTGAAAAGAGGCAAAGAACGAATGAAGCTCGGTTTAATTCACGTTTGTCTCCTTCTAAACAGCTGGAAAGAGACAAGGAACGAATGAAGCTACGCTTAAAGTTGAACGACGTTAGCGAAACCGGGCCTAAAGTCCAGTTTCACCAAACGTCGTTTAACTATAATCGTAGTTTAATTCACGTTTGTCTCTTTCTAAAGTAACAGTTGAAAAGCGGCAAGGAACGAAGTAAGCTTGGTTTAACTCACGTTTGTCTCTTTCTAAACAGCTGGAAAGAGACGAGGAACGAATTAAACTACGCTTAAAGTTAAACGACGCTGGTGAAACCGGGCCTAAGGTCCGGCCGCTTAACTTTAATCTTAGTTTAATTCACGTTTGTCTCTTTCTAAAGTGACAGAAAGACACAAAGAATGAATTAAAAGCTTAAAGTTGAGCGACGTTGGTGAAACCAGGCCTTAAGCCCGTATCAGACTACGGATTAGGATTGAGGTTAGATTGAAATTCGACCAATTAGAGCAAAAGTTACTAAACTTGAGATTAGTAAACTTTACTGTGACTGATCAAATTTCAATCTAATCTCAATCTGTAGTCTAATACGGGCTTTAGGGCCTCCTTCACCTAGGCCCGGTTTTCCTCTAGTTCACCGTTAACCACGAGTTAATCGACTCTCTATCATTCTTTATATTGTTATCTAAAAAAATCTAAAAAGAGACAGAGAATTGATTAACCTCCGGTTAACAGTTGACCAGAAAATGAAAAATCGGGCCCTAATCTAACCCCGGTTAGATTAATCGACGGTTGAATTTACCGAGATGCCAACCGAAAATAGAGGTGAAGGACACTCGCACCTTCGCCTCTATTTTCCGTTGGCACCCTTGCAGATCTTGACTGTCGGTCAAGTCCCAGACTACAATGGTGGATCAATTCTGTATCTTACACTATAGTGAAAATGTTAAAAGTGAGTAGCTCCGTCTCTTTCTAACTGTCCTCTCAGGCCCGTATTTTCATTTTCTGGTTAACTGTTAACCAGAAGGTAGTCGACTCTCCGTCTCTTTCTATGTTGTTATCTGAGAAGAGGCAGAGAGTCGACTGACCTCTGGCTAACAGGTAGCCAGAAAATGAAAAACCAGGCCTCACAAAGAGTCGCTCATTTTTAGCATTTTCACTATATTGTAAGATACAGAATTGACGCCCGAGTGATTCAAGCCCTAAGCCCTGAGGCATTGACCAATTATAGTCGAGAATCTTCTCATTTTCGACTGTAATTGGCCAATTTCTTAGGGCTTAGCGTATAAATCGTTCGTTGTGGACTGGGACTAATCTAACAGATTGTGAGATTTGTGAAAGAAACGGACACTCGGTCGCCCCGCGAAAAGAGAGAGAGAGAGAGAGAGAGAGAAAAGGAGAATCGCGACGTGGAAAACAAAACTCGATCCAGCCGAAAAGCGTGCGCCGCACTTTTTTTCAAATTTTCGCGCGAAACCTCGCGCTCGCACGCTCGGGATTTATCATGCCGCCATTATGCGCATTGCTGCACCTGGCAGTGTACTCTTACGTCGCGGCACATCCTCGCTTGCCCCCCTCGTCCCCCGCTTGGCTCCGCCGATGTTACGGCGGACGCGAGCGCGCGCGCCGAGAGAAATTATTCCCGAGGAGAAAATCTCTCGCGTATTCGGATAACAAGGATTACTCGCGGTGCGCGCAAAGTGGCGCGCGTCAATTCGCCGTCGATCATCGGTATATTTTCTCTCCCGGGGTCTCCGTTCGCCCTCTCGCCCGTTTCACGTGTCCCTCGAGCCAACCGGATTCGTGTCGTCCGTCCATAATGAATCCGCGTAGACGGGCGCCCCGCGCGACCGCGGGACTAATTCGTTAAACTCGTCGGCACGATCGATCCGTTCGGCCAACTTCGATTTCCCCCGCGGGACACGACGTACTCGTAAGACGTAAGAGGATAACGGTGCTCGTAACGCGTAGCGTACGGCCCGCGCACGTGTCCTCCCGAGACCCGGCGGAGGATCCTGCGGCGGGGCCTCGCTCGACGCGCGGACGGCGATCGATGATCGCGTATAAGGAGGCCCCGCTCGATCTCGAAAAACGGCTCGGGGAAAGAAAAAAAAACGAAGGGAAGAGGAGAGAGAGAAAGAGATCGCGCAATCCAGGCGGTTCTCTAGACGTGCGCGCGATCGTGCTGTGTGTTACAGAAAGGGGAGATCCCCGCGTCCTGTCGGCGGAAGCCGCCCGCGCGGGTGGCCGGGAGTAGCGGATCTCGGGGGAGTGCGCGAGAACCCTTTCACGGATGGTCCTCCGCGGTGCATCGCGGCCCACCCGGTACATCGCGATCGAGAGAGAGTGTAGTGTGAGATCAATAATGAGACAGGTGCTCTCATTGGTGTAAAGCGATGCGGCGGAGCTGAGAGTTTTGTCGGGCGGCACTGGGGCTCATGAAAAGTGTATCCGGCGCGCGTAACGACGCCGCCGCCGCCAAGGACCAACGTGCCGCGAGACATTCCAGCGAGTTGGATCAGTGTAATTACAATGTAGTGCCAACTCTGCAAATGGATAAACAGGGATGACTGATAATTGCTGGAACTCTGGTGGTGGTAAGTGTCCGATCGCGAGCATGCACGAATCCCACCTCTTCCACCGGCCGCTACCTCTACTTTTAACCCTTTCGCCGCTTCGGCCGATTAACGAAAGTGTCGAAGCCGGGGGGAGAGCGACTCGAACGTTTCGTTGTTTCACCCTCGACGCGTCTCGCGTTCCCCTCGGGGAGTTTCGGGACGCCCGGTGCGTGGAAATACGGATGTCATTTCGGCCTTATAATACGCGAGATTAGATAAGTAACGCGTGGATATATCAGCCGAGGCGGACGGACACACACCGTGTCGCGACGCGACGGTCGGCCAGCTCGATTATGCTTATGTGTACGCTATTACCGAGATGCGAGCGCCTAGCCTGCCACTTGGGCAACCGCAAAAACTTATTTTGTATCGAGCCGCGCCGGAACGCCGGCTGTCAGCAGTCATTTTTTTATTCGCCTTGCATGTAAAAATATACGCTCGAGATACGTAAATAGCCTTGAGAACGTTCGTAGGCGATAGGAGAACTGTTTTCAAATCGTTTACGTTATTGCGAAAATTAAATTGCGATAACGCGATCCCTCGCGAGCGATTTCGCGCCGACTGTTATCTCGGGAAATTCGCTGTCTTATTATTGTCCAGCGATTCGCTCTCCTTTTTTTGTTTCTTTGTATATCGGCAATCTGTTCGCCGCGGCGATCTCGCGGCATTCACTGAGATATAATATTGAAGGTCTCAGTTGACCCTCGGCCACGCGATTGTCGCGAGTTCGCGAGGATAAAAATCCAGCCTTGTATCAGCCGATTGTCCCGCGGGGAGGAGGGAGAAAATGAGATCTCCCGCTAATCGCAGGTCTCGTTAACCGCAACGCTCAATCTTTTTTCGATAATGCGCCACATGTTGAACCGACCGATGCCTTCCGTTTTATCGCGATAGCGAAGGAGTATCAACGAGGACGAACAGACAGACAGGCAGAATAGACTAAAATCTTTATTTATTAAACGCTCTGAAACAAGTCCCCTAAAGCGTTAGACAAGCTACACATAAAAAATACTTACGGGTGAGACAGAACTTTTGTACAACGAATAATTTGAAAATAGTAAAAAGTATTATAATAAAAAAGGTGAGTCGTATCTGATTGAATCATTATTTGTAGAACGCTCTGGGACAAAGTCCCCTAAAGCGTTAGACAAACTACACATAAAAAATACTTACGGGTGAGAAGGAACTTTTGTAAAATGAATAATTTAAAAATAGTAAAAAGTGTTGCAATAATAAAGGCGAGTCGTATCAGGTTGAATCATTATTTGCAGAACGTTCTAGGACAAGTCCTCTAGAGCCGATGGGGGAAACCGTTGAGGGCATTGTGGTGTACAGATTTGCGGCATTACTGGGTATTACTAGGGCATTTTTAGATATTAGGTCTTGCTGGGGCTTTATAAAGATAAAATAAGATAACAAGAAAAGTAATGCCCACTGGGCATTAGTGGGCATCGGTGTACCAAGATTTTGGTCAGCTGTGTCCCCCTCGCCTAAAGCGTTAGACAAGCTGCACATAAAAAATACTTACGGGTGAGAGAACTTTTGCACAATGAATAATTTGAAAATAGTAAAAGTATTACAACAAAAAAGGCGAGTCGTACCAGATTGAATTGTTTGTAGAACGCTCTGGATAGTCCCCAAAGCGTTAGACTACACTGAGAAAAATCCTCATCGGATAAACCTATTAAATAGTGTTTCCGATGGTTAATTTTTCCGATTACATTTTTCGATTAAATTATGGATACATCCGATGGAATGCAGTTACCGATGAAATTTGATTGAAAAACCAAACATATTTGTCATCGGATATACAATTTAATTGGATATGTCCGTTTGTTATTATGTAATTGGATTACCCGATTATATTTGATCGGACATTTTTCTCGGTTTAGCTACTCATAAAAAATACTTACGGGTGAGAAAGAAATTTCGTACAATGAATAATTTGAAAATAGTAAAAAGTAGGTATTATAATAAAAAAGGCGAGTCTTATCAGATTGAATCATTATTTGTAGAACTCTCTGGGACATAGTCCCCTGAAGCGTTAGACAAGCTACACATAAAAAATACTTACGGGTGAGAAAGAACTTTTGTACAATGAATAATTTGAAAATAGAAAGAAGTATTACATTAAAAAAGACGAGTCGTATCAGATTGAATCATTATTTATAGAACGCTCTGGGACATAGTTTCTAACACGTAGTGACAATATAACGGACAGTGATGGTTTTTCATTAGTGGTATTCAAGAATAGAAAAGAGTAGCGCAGAAACAGTATGACGAAAAATAACAAAATTAAAGTGGTCAAGATAATTTCAGAGAGAGAGAGAGAGAATTTTGAATCTTTATTTATCAAACGCTCTGAGACAAGTCCCCTAAAACGTTAAACAAGCTACATATAAAAATACTTACCAAGTGAGAAAGAACTTTTGTACAATGAATAATTTGAATATTGTGGAATATATAATACAAAAAAGGACATAGTCCTCTAACACGTAGTGACAATATAACGGTCAGTGACGATTTGTCATTAGTGATACACACGAATAGATAAGAGTATCGCTAAAACAGTGTGGCGAAAAACGAAATTAAAGGGGTCGAAATGATTTCACCGAGAGAGAGAGGGGGGGGGGGGCAGGACAGGTGTACCGGCAACAAAGTATTTGTTTCTTAGAAATACACTTGTGCGGGAACGCGATGATTATCAATGCGGTAGACGAGCTGCCGAGCGTTGCGTAAAGTTGCGTCCATTGATCGTGACGAGGCGCGATGGCTCTTCTCGTTTTTGTCGCGGCGAGAGAATAACACGCGCGACACGAGCGGCCCGCGGGATAATAGGTCCCCGCGAAATCATCGTCTAATTAGTCGCTAATTAATCCCTCGACGAGCGTCGCCGAGTCACGACGGAAGCGACGGCGGAGACGCCGCGCTCGGCAGCCTCTCGCGTCTCAGCGTCGCGTTTCAGCGAGCGTTTTCAGACATTGTCCGGCGGACGACAACAAGTGGATCGTTCTCTCCGGCGCGGCCGCATCGCGCTGCCGGAGGAGACGCCGGTGAGTTCGGATGGCACACTTTTTCGGAGGACGCGGAGGATTCGGCCGATAGACGCGCGCGCGCGTAATGCAATTCGCCGTGTAGAAGAACCGCTCGCGAAATATCCTGAGCAGCGTCTCACATTGTTGCTAGCGCCTCGCTTTCTCCGCGCCTTTTGTAGAACGAATGAAATTCCACGATGGCCGTTGCCGCCGTGACACTTGTCCGACGTAAGCGTCGCGTCATTTGGAGCTGAAGCTGCCGCGGTTCGTCTCCCCTTCGCTTCCGAGGTAGCGAAGGGGGCGGACGAAAGGGCGGGTCGGTAGGAAATTTAACAAATTAATGACAACGGATAGAAGCGCGTCTTCGGGGATGAATAGACGTTGAAAGATGCGCGCCCGTCCGATGATAATTTTCGGGCGAGGACTGGACCAGGAATCCGGCACCTTCGCTCGCCGGGGCGACTGCGCTCGTCCAGGCCCACGCCCGCGCGCGATATTGAAACGCGATGATATCTCCAGGTATTCCCGGATTCGTCGCGCGCGATATTGCACGCGGCGTGTCGTAAAGGCTGCATTGTTTTGGGTTGCGCAATTAAACCTGCGCGCCTCGACGAACCGCGTCTATCTTCTTACAGCGAGTCCGTTCGCCGCCTATCCCAGGCACTACGAATAAAATAGCCTTGCCCCCGTTTTACATGAAAATTGTGGCCGACGACGAGTTCAATGACTGCGCTACTGCACTCGCGCGCGCGCGCGCGCGTTCACTCGCTCGGATTTATCGAGCAGGCAGATGCGTTCCCGGCTGTCCCGGTCCAAGTGGCTCTAATTGTCGCATACCGCGACGATCAATTTTCCTATCACTTTCTCAATTTTCGCGAGTCCGCGCGCGCGCGCGGCGAATATCAGCCGCGAACCCGATCGCGGAACGGCAATGATCGTTAAACATCGACGTGCAAAACAACGTTGCGCCGTTTGGTAACGCGCAACGGCCGGTCACGCATCGTGAACGTGTATAATGTCTTTAACGGATTGCAGTGATTCTCGAAAGTAACGGCGAGCAGTGCGACTCATTCAGTCGCGTATACGCGCGTTGATAACAGGGCGAAGAGAGGGGGGAAGGGGACGGTCCTATCTATGAAAATAAAAATCCTTACGATGCCCGTAAGTGAACCCCTTTCTTCCGCTCGCTCGCACGCGCGTCTCGCTGGCCAGTGAATTTCCCAGAGACCTGCTATTTGTTAAAAATTTCAGAGTCGTGAATGGCAAAAAAAACCGCGCTATACGCATCGCGAACTTGGACGGGTTTAAACTCACGGCGATTATTTCTCTTCTGGGAAGCTACGTCCCGAGGGTGGTTAACGAAGTCTAGGGTGATTCTTTCCTCGGATAATAGCTTCATCTGTGACGTGAATAATAAAGGTGGCGAGGCACGCGACGTGCGCGCGCGCGAATTATCTATTATTTCTGTCGGCCGTCGATTCTCGTCTAATTTTACGAGACGGGCTCCACAAGTCGCACAATAGAATGGCGGTTTATTCGCGTAGAGGATCGACGCGCGAGTTAAATCCAATCCGTTTGATCGAAATAGATATAATGCCCGGCATAATGCGGCCCCGCGAGCGCTAATTATAGCATTCGGATTGCGCCGTTTACGACCCGCGGGATGTCCAGTTTATTGCGCGCGCGGTAATCGTCGGCGGCCTCGACGGCTACAATCGTGGGATGCTGTTGACTCGATGTTGCCGGTGGACACCGTTCGTCGAGACGTCGAGCTCCGCGGACGGCGAATTTTTTCATCCGAAATTCTCCCGGGGAAATTCGGGATGTAACGCCGGAACGGGCGCTGTCGCTCGCCTCCCCCCCCCCCCCCTCGCCCCGTATCTCTTCCTCGCTCGGATTCGTCCAGAGATAAGCCCCCTCGCGACGCAATCCGTTTCCGCGTTTCTTTACGAACGGACGCGAAGGAGCGGGGGCGTCGACTAGGTCGCGAACCGAGAGGTTCCTCCGCGCTCGACGAATTTTCTCCCGGTCTCCACGTGCGGCAGGGAAATCGCGGGTGAATCGAGACGCGACGCGCAATCTTCCTACGACTGCGTAACCACGCCATTCGGTGTTCAATATCGACCTCTGCCGGAAACTTTTTCGCGATAGTCCGCTTCTCTCCGCGTCTTTTTCCCCGCGCGGCTAACCCTTGCTCTCTCTCTCTCCCTCTCTCTCTCTCTCCTCTCTCTCTATCTATCTATCTATCTATCTGTATCTCTCTCTCTACTTGCTCCTCTTGTCTCGTCTTCGTTTCTTTTGTTCTGACGCGTCGCGTCGATTTCGCGATCGGATCGGGACACGTCGTCCGTATGCGATCGACTCTTGTAGATCGCGGATACGCTTCTCGATCCTTATCGCAGATTCTTGGCTCTTTTTCCACCGACGCCACGGGCGAAAGGTCGAAGTGTAATTCGCTGTGACTTGTTGTTCCAGGCGCTGGCGTCAAGATGGAGCACTTTCAGGCCACCCTGGACCCAAGGAAGCAGGAGTTATTGGAGGCCCGCTTTCTCGGAGCGAGGGTGAGCTGCCTACAACACTACACGTACATACATACATAAGACACACGCAGCAAACGCGCGCGCACGCGCGTTTTCTCTCTTTCTCTTGTATTGTCCTGTGCAAAAGTATTCTCCTTCGCCGTCGTCATCTTGCGAGCGTTCGCGTAGAGGGAACAGCTGGACGTTGTGCGAAATAGTGACGTTAGGCGATGACGAATCGTCCGCCGGGCGACATTCGCCTAGCGGATTATCACTCGGCCTATTGATACACTATCGGCTTTATCGACTTCGAGCCGTTGGAACGAGTAATTAGCTCGTGAGGCAAGCACGTTTCCGTACGTTTCGCCCGCAAATTTTCCGCTTATCGCTCTATCACGCGCTCGGAGGCCGGCAACGCACATCACCGCCGACCTTTATCTCGTGACGAAGCCGCGACGTTCGAATTGTCTCACGCACGTCGCCGCAGCGCGATTGCTCTCGTTCTCCGTCACCTGAGCCCCCTCCCGCGCCCCTTAATCTCGGGCGGGCGCAGAAAATCGGCTAATCGCGCGAGCCTCCGGGCAGCTCGATCCTCCGATAAAATCCGACGATTATTATGTCACTGGCGCGGAGCCAATAAACGCCGGAGTCAGGTCCGGCAGGTACTCATTATGGGACGAAACGAGTCGCGCTGCGTAATAAAAGGAGACGCTTCTCCGAGATTTTACGAACCGGCACACGCGTTACGCCGTCCCGCGACGATTTTTCTTCTTTTTTTGTTCTCCGTACGATTCACCGATAGCGGCGTCCGAGGGTCGAAGACATTTCCCCTGGGTGTGACTTATCTGAATAACAATATAACGCTAGGCGATGTCCGTAGACGATGAGGAGGACCGTTACTCTCGCCGAAAAGAAAAGGTATCGGAACAACGTAATAAAGTTGCGGCGGACCCGCAGCCGACGTATGAATCGCGGGCGAACGCGAGCCGGAACGTCGATGTGTCGGTGCGTAAACATTTCTTTTGTCCAAACAACGCGGAATAATTGAATGTGAAAGAGTAATTGCACGGCCTGATGATGACCAAAATGAACGATCGAAATGTCCGGGGGAAAATTTGTTTGAATAAAAGAATTGTTTACGCAGAGCAACATGGGCGTTTTTTAGCGGCGCGTGTTGACCCTGTACAGCCGCGCTTACATCGATACACCCGGCGTCGACGTAACTGCATTTTACGTTACTCGATAACGAATGTGCGAATGCACCGTTAAATTTAAGCATATCTGGCCGTGATTAATTTATAACTGTACCGAGCGCGCGAGTGGATCGATCCGATCGCGACTCTAGTTCTTTTTTACCGGAGAGACAACTCGTTTGCGTACGCGTCGACTCTATTTTCGGCAAATTACGACATCGCGACATACGGAGCGTCCCCGAACGAGCCCGTCGACTCGACACACGCGGAATTAAAATTTCGCCTCTCGACGTGTCGTTTCGAGAGCACAAAGGCTCGCTTCTTCGAAATTCCACCTTCCCCCCCCCCAAGACACATCCTGTAGAAAGGGATATATTACATACGCGGCGTAACTTGCTCGCCCGTGCGTAATGTAATATTTACAACGACCCGCCTATATCGATCGTAACTTGCATTTATTCAGACGTTTAGTATCCGCGTCTCTCGATGACGTAACGTCGACAAAGAGTATCGACAAGCGAGTGTCATCCCCGCGGTGAGATAGGAGGGAGCGAGCTGTCTGCATTACGGCGTTATTAAAGACAGGCCGGTACACCCGTTCGGTCTAATGTGTCCACTTTTGGAACGCCTGGCACGAGCGTGATTGGTTCTTATTTTGGATTCCCAAATCAGATATATTACCTGGAGCAGGCTGCAATAATACTCGGTGTCCCAGAAATGGAATCTGCGAGATCGATGGGTTTAAACGCGTACGACTACTGGCAGAATAATAACACGGCTAGATAGAATAATAACCAGCGGAATAAGGAGCGTAGCTATAGCGGTGCGTTCATAGATACGCGGGCACGTCCGTATTATCGGGCCTGGATGCATGAAAGATGAAGAACAAGAGAGGAGTCGAAATACGTCAAAAGGGTAAAGGGATAAGCTGGTAGACCCGTGGCGCGCGACATCCTATATACATCCGACCGACCGACCAACCAACGAACGAACCAACCAACCAACCAACCAACCAACCAACCAACCAACCAGCCAACCAACCGACAGACCGACCGACCGACCGACAAACGGACGGACAGACAGACAGACAGACAGACCGGCGACGTTGCCGGGTCATTCGCACTCGTGTGTAAGGTCCGCGCGCGAAGTAGTAACGCATGCATTTTGCATCCGTCACAACCGCGTCGTGTCGCTCGTTGCGAGACGGAGAGAAACGGAGACGCGGAGTGCGGCCGGCCCGTTTTATTTGTCGTTGCATCGCATCCGAAGTGCGGCGCGGCCGCACGAAAAGGTGTGGCCAATCGCGGCGCGCCGTGCGATCGGCCCGCGTGCTATCGGAAGCACAGCGCGGCCTGGGGTCGTGCGCGACGACGTCACGTGGCGCTCTCACTTAGAGCACGGCAGTCAAGTGCGCGAGCCCGACGCGCTCTCGCACGCCCGCCGAGCCGTGAGAGTGAGGGGGACGCGGGGGGGGGGGCGCGTTTCGCGCTTAAGGGTGCCCTCACATGGTCGGCGCCGTCACGACCTCTCTCGCTGCCCC